CTTGGCTGCCACCAGCCAGTTATCCCTGTGGTAACTTTTCTGACACCTCTAGCTGAAAGTTTCTCAGACCTAAAGGATCGATAGGTCATGCTTTCACAGTTTGTATTCGTACTGGACAACAAAATCAAGCACGGTTTTCCCATTTTGGTCAACATGAGATTTCTGTTCTCATTGAGCTTGCCTTAGGACACCTGCGCTATTGTTTCACAGATATGCCGCCCAACCCAAACTCCCCACCTGACTGTGTGTTCCGCATTGATCAGCGCCAAAAAGGCACCTTAAGACTAAAACACATGCCGAGCATGCGTCGCAAACTAACGGAATAAGTAAAACGATACTGAAGGTAGTGGTATTTCACGATCACCGAAGCTCCCACCTATGCTACACTCCCAAATCGTTCCACAAACTCGGACTAGAATCAAGCTCAACAGGGTCTTCGTTTCCCTCTGAATCCGCCAAGCCCGTTCCCTTGGCTGTGGTTTCGCTAGATAGTAGATAGGGACAGTGGGAATCTCGTTAATCCATTCATGCACGTCACAAACTAGATGACGAGGCATTTGGCTACGTAGAAGCCCTTGTGGCGCAATGGATGGCGCGTTGGATTTCTGACTGCAGAAGAGAGGCTTGCGAAGACAAATGACAGCCTAGCAAGCCTTCTCCTAAGTTTCCGTGACTGACAGAGCCCGCTTGGGCAGTACCAACAGCAGGAACACTCCTTCCTCAACACCATAGCGTCCCTGCACATGGGCACAGTAGGCGAGGGTCAGAGAGCCCTCTACCAAGCCCACGCTAACAAAGGTGGGTGTTTGGGACAGCCGAATGAAGGGCAGGAGGTCCGGAGCTTGATTCCAAGTGCAGAATCAGCACGATAACAACTGAATCAGCTATAGCGGGCCCAGAGAGGGCCCAGCCGCATGCCTGGACGGGACATCGTTTGCCACACTATTGCAAGGCATAGAGCAGACGCCTGCAGCGGGGCTTCAACGCGCAATCTGCCGATAACGAGCAACAGACCACTACGCATCCCAAGACTCACGACAGAAGCTTACGCGAGACTAGAGGACGAATTGGAAGATCTTGAGAAAGACACAACTTGCGGGTTAGTTAGGGGCCCTGCAGTTCCACCCCGTCGCTAAAACACTTAAATACCGGAGTCTTGGATTTGAATACTGAGGACGAATACGTCACTGCTCCACCGGTATCAATACGCTTGCCCGATATTCATTGATGCCAAAATTGGCTAAAATTGCCGTTCGAACTCAATCAATAAAATTGTGATTATCTAGAAGGAGAACGAATTATGTCCTGCATGCAACACCGATTATTTTGGGGAGGTAATTGGACCTCAGCTAGTCAGGTGCTGTTTTGGAGGTGTTCTTGAGGGCCTCGAATAAATGACGGTGTGGGAAATATATTGAGCCTATTTAGCTTGTTTGATATAATATAGTTGTAGGTAGTGTTTGAAAATGCTCCTTTGTGGCAGAAGTGTCCTATCGAACCGACAGAATAACTGGTGGTTCTCTTTACGCATCCTTTAAGTCATTGCACTTCCTGCAAACAGAGAACGTGCCGCCCTCAATGGCTTTCACCTGCTGTGCCCACTGGGCTGTCATTCATTACGCTACCCTCTCTTGCCTTCGACTTTTGCTGCAGTTGCTGCCTCGTTATTGAACTAAACCAGGCTGTCCGTAAATTCTCCTGAAGCTCACCAAACCTCTATGGTAGTTGGCCGTAAACCACAGGGGCAACGTGCGCGGCGTCCTTCGTGTTATCGACGAAACTTCTCTGGATGACCTGCAGTGTTGTCCCATTATTGATATGAAGGTCCCGAAGCGGGAAGTAGAGTTGGCATTGCATTGTGCAGTCCCTCTGCCTGTCCCTGCTGCTTACTACCGTAGCTCCACCAACATGGTCTACGGGCAATTTTATCGCCGTTTGTATAGTTTTTATCGTGGCCGTTTCCATTAGTGCCCGGGAAGAGCTCTTCAACCAACGATTTGGTGTGATGGTTTAGTTGCCGGACACGAGGCGACCGGACTAATTCATATCTCCCCTCATACCACCGTTGGTGTGGCCGTATCTCCTTGCAAGTTGCTAATGGAAAATCTTCTCTGGCATTCCTTTCTGGAGCAAGTTTTACCCGTATGCTTCTGGAACGCATGGCTCGTATGCAACAGAAAACGAAGCGTGGAGTTGAGTTCCTTAATCAATGCCACTTCTCCCCTCCTCAACGGGCTGACTGACGCTTGCGCAACGCTGCCGTGAATTCAATGACGGTATATATTTTTTTTGGTATATGACGGTATATATTTTTTTGGTATATATTTTTTTTGGTTGCTTTCCGCATGAAGATGCTGTTCTCCGCGCAACCTCGGGCGCTGCGCAGGTGATTTAGTCGAAGAGCTGCCTTCATGCTCCCACCTAGAGCGACTGCAGCGTTGCCTCCGTTAGGCTTGACCGTGCTCTAGACTGATCTTGATCAGAGCTTTGATTCCCTTCACTATACGCATGAGATGGGGTGGCTGCAGTATAACAATCCGTAAAGCACACTAGGCAGTGGCTGTTGACTGTGGGCGGTGGTAGCACATTCATGCTCCTTGTGGCTCCTCTACGTAACACTTCTATTGTGGCACTGCCAAAATATTTGGCACAGCATGCTGGCTTCAGCATTGTACCTTACACTTTCTGCGCTGCATCAAAACAATTTGTACCTTCGCTAAGCCGGAAACATCAGTGTGCAAATACGACGGCAGACACGTGTCGGGAACTTTGCAGAGAGTGCGAAGTCCCAGGAGATGCAAAATTACGCGTCGAAGCATTAGCGCTGCTGTGGCAAGGATACTCAACAACACCGCTCCTCCTGGAAATGGAAAACCAAGGCGGCAGGCAAAATAATCAGATTTCTCTGCATACGTAGGCCCCTTCCGAATCTGTTGTGAACCGAAAACCTGAATAATACTCCAGTGGAACAGATCTCGCAGCGCCAGCGAGCATAAGTGTGTGGTTATTACTGGAGTGGCCACGCGGAATAACTCCCTTGAATAAATTCCACAGATCCTACGTTGAAATGAGTGAGCCTGGAGGCAAGAGGCAGGGCAGCAGCATTCATCGATACAGGACAATTCAGGCTAGCTTGTCAACAACCCCGTAATTTGGCATGGGCCTCCGGAGTACTTCCTCCGAGTGAAGGAGAAATGCCAGGGAGCAATCTGGAGCACGTTGAGAGTGAATTCGGGCCTTAACATTCTCTGCGCAGAGCACGGAACTTAATCTTATGCACTTCTAGATGTTTGAACTAGTGTCAGCACTGCAGCGTCCCTGGTTCAAGGAATGCAGACAAATAACTTAGACCCATAGAGCCGTACTGTTGTGAACTCCCATGGTTGCATTTAGTTCTGGCTGCAGACATTCGAGGAAAAGGCACTGCCTGGTGTATCCACTTAGATCAAAAGTGAACGGTTGAGCCTAGATGAGCCTAATGCCCTCTTCGGTGCGACAAAAAGTTGGTCATCGTAGAGCCGAGGCCCAATCAAGCGAAGCAAAGAAGTGCAATGCGCTATACCAATGCTGACTACACGAATATAAGCTTGATGTCGATTGTAGGCATAAACCCAAATCCTCAGCTTTGCTGGTCTGGATAAACATGCCTCTCAGAATGCCAATGCGTGCTCTCCTGCTCTTGATTTGCGCAGGAGAATAAAGCGTCACCACCACGAACTAAAGGGACTGCATGCATTATAGGCATTAGAGGCACTGTAACACGGGTCATTGATTTTATCCGAGGACTATATTGGGCTGCATTAGATTCAAAATACTCGAGATGAGAGTTCCTTGAAGAGAACTGGCATCCTTGGTCAGTCTCCATTTTCAGACGCTGGCGTCTCAAGACCACAAAGTTGTGGGGGAGAAGGCGGCTAGTAATGAGTTGCAACTCGCCTTCACAGACCTTGAGTGCAGGGAAGCCTCACGTACATGGACAAACAAGCCTTCTGTGCTGTATGTACAGACACTGTAGACAGTTTATGTTAACTTGTGCTTCAGTACAGCTAGTCTACTAAGGCAGTGTAAGGGTTCATGTGCCCACTTCAGATGGGCGTGTCCACATATGACGCAGTTTGCTACAGGCGCTATCCCTAACCTGTTGGCTCACGGAGTGATGGACTACTGATTGAAATTTTCCTGTAGTTTTGTAGCGGTTAATTTTAGTGCATGCGGCTGTCAAAACAAATGGGCTACCCTTCATGTAGGTAGTTTTTGCATTTTTCCTACATAACGCCCTACGTAGTTCTCACATCTTACTGTCTTGCTTTTGAGTGCATGTGCTATCGTGGGCGGCCTGCCGCTTTGAGTTTAAGCCCTCAAACGGCCAGGTTAATGCGTTTAAAACACAATGAACCTAAATATCGGGAAATGGTGAGAGGTATTTAAGGTATCGCCTGCGGATGCAACACGATATCGAAATAATGCCCCGCTTGCGGCGGTCGACGACAGCCATCGACAACTTCATTCGCTTGAAAAGCTCTTAACCTGTTCGACTGATTGTTAAAAATCCAAACAAGTCAGAAATCGAAACATTAAGAACACTTCGAACGTAGAACAAAACGTAGATGAGATTCCAGTGCGGCTCTCAAAGGCGGCGAACGCTGTTGGTCTGACCGGTCGGCGGCGATGGGTCGAGCCTGGCATGCTCAGCGATTGCCTAATCTTTATTTATCTCATCTAAAGGTATACAATATTCTCTTTATCCCCTTACTTTAGCAGCCTTAGCGACTTCCCTTCATTTTTCCTTTTCCTAGGCGTGTGACTGTGTCGCGTGTTTCGGCCTCTGCTGCTCTCTCCATTTTGGCTGCGTGCACAAGGGGATAAGCTGCCAATCGTCGTCCATCGTCGTTCATTTCTATAATTAATTTCCCCTACATACGGCAGTTTTTGAGCCCAGGCTCCTCCACGAAAAGTACTTAAGCCTGGGAGGCGCGTTCACACTTTGGCATTCAAGGGGGATGGAGAAGAAACAGGACAATGGAAGCCCTCGCTGGCAGGGACAACAGAAGGGAGAAAAGCGTGTGACTCGAAAGAACAGTAATGTTCTAGACGCCCCCGAGACAGTGGCGAAACCCGGCGACGACGGGGGAATTGTTGAGTGGCCCAGAGTTGTAGAGGGCCATCTGTTGTATCAAGGAAAAGTGAAGGTAGGAAGTCACGTTGTGCCCGTATGCGAAGAAGCATCCTTCACGTTCCCTGACCCAGAAGACCCAGAAGCTGCTACTGAAGCTTTTGCTGGCTACTACGATGGCAACTTCCCCGAGATAACGCAACTCGACGTTTCCTCCCTCCTAGAGATAAAGGCTCCAATGAAGCATAAAAATGGCAGAAACGGAAAAGTCAAAGCCCACCTGGCTGCCACTGGCAATCTCCTTGTCGGGTCACTTCCCCAGTTAGAAGAGCCTGTTTCCCCTGAGGGTCGGGATCTGTTCGCGCGTAAGCAGTTGGGGAGATGAAACACCAGAAAGTTTCCTGTCCCCAGCATGCTGGCCTGACTCTGTCTTTTGTAAGATGTTAGTTTCCTAAGGAAGCTGTTCATTTGGTTTGAGGTAGGGCCTTGCGTGTTGCGTTGCACAGCGTACGAACAGAAGCTAGCAAAGTTCATGCTTCTAATCAGCTCGCTAAGCGGTAACTGCGCCTGGTATGTATTGGAGGATATGCGTCGCCTGCTGTACATGCGAAACGGGAAGGTTTCAAGGAGCGGTAATTTGGCGTCACGGAAGGAAGCTTGTAGTTCGTTGGCTCGGCTCGCCTGTCTCAGGAAAAGCCTTGCTGAAGTTGAAGATAAGGGCAGGCGCTTCGCCAGCCACTCTTCTTTAGAAGCGTTGCTGGACCTAGAAGCCAGTCTAGCGGGGTCCCTTGCCTACCGGTCTGCCGATGGCAAACATCCTGCAGTGTATATTCCTGTAGCCAGCCTCTCTCCTACTAGTCTATATCTCCACGTTACCCCGGCGGAATTCCAGCGAACCCTTTTGGGGCTATTCGACCGCGCCTGGGAGAAATTAGGTGCCACTTCTCGCCGTCACGGGGAAAAGATTTCTCATGGTAAATCACAAATTGACCTATATATAGGATACTTCCCGTTGGAGGGGCCCTTAGTTGGATTGCCTGTAGTTATTTCCACCATCGAGGATTTGACGCAGTCTGCCAGCTCATCTGCTTGGCAGAATGAACTCAGAAAGTTAATTGTTGGCTGAGATGTTCGGTAGATGCAGACGGCGTGCTGTGGCTTGCAGTTGCGGTCGTCCTGGATTTCAGCGATTTGTCGCAGTTGGACCTTGCTGCGTATTCAACACATCGTCTTTTGGGAGACATTGGGGAAGTTCTGCGAGCTTACTGCCCATGGCTGGTGTATAAAATCGTCATTTTCAAACTGAGTTTTGCTAGGGAATTCCTGTGGGAACTCTTTAGGTGAGGCTGTACAACGGATAGGCTGAACGTGTCGATGCCCCTTCCCTGTATGCCTGCAGCAGTAAGCTTGCTTGTTGGTTTTTTGGACTAAAATGAGCCTAGGGTTGATAGTGTAATGCACTCACCAGCTTAGGCTAGTCGAAAATTGCAAAACAAGCCTCCCTTCCCCTAATTTCTCATATTCCTTATGTTTTGGCGGCTCAGACCAGCGCTGCATGCAGACTGCCGCGTTGTGACAGCAGAAGACGAGGAGGCACTTCTTCAGGAGATTCAAGCAGATGGGTGAGCCACTACTAATCCATCCGTCTTTAAGTGTGGGTTCACAACCGCTGTGCAGCGCACACCCAGGGGCCTTCTTCTGTAGTATCATATGCCCTTAAGATATTGTTGTTTCATTGACTGGTGGCATTGGAGATGCGTGCACTGAAAGTATTGTATGTTTAGAGTGTGTTGCATAGGCTAAATCCGGTTTATGTTTTCAAGCAATTTGATACTAGGAAACGTATGCGTGCGTTAAGGGACCTGCTTCAACTTGCTGCCTTCCCACATGCTCTTCCAATCTTGTGTTGTTTGAGTAGAACCTTTATCCTGCATACCCTCGGAGGATTCAACGAGTATAGCGTGCTGCGGTGCCGGCGACCAGCCTACCGTCTACCACAGCCTCCTCAGCCACTGGGAGCGAGCGAGTGGTTAAGTAGGGAGGGAGAGGCAACTGATTTCTGGGAAGAAATGGAGAAACTGTACGAGGAGGCGCCGGAGGCTGCGCCAGAGGGAGAGCCTGTTGATGACATCCAAACAAGGGACTATGATGAGGTCAAGGAGACATCATCAAGGCGAAGGCAAGATGAAAACCGGTACTTTGTGGAGACGGCGTCCTCTCAGCGCCCCTCTCTACATGCAATCCGGCGGCTAGTCAGTTATCCTGGGACAATGTTGCTCTTCACATATTTGCTAGTCAGACCCTCCCATTGTTGTGTTCGTGTATTGACAGAGAAGAAGCTCTACGACGCAAGGAACACGAGTTAGAGAGTCTAACTAATCGACGTGAATGTCTAATACCTCACTTTGAGAAAGCGCTGAAACAGGTGCTTAATGGGAGCGATGCTGATGTAAGTCGAACTCGTGTTCTAAGCGTGTCGTTATTTCCTCGGTGACATGGTCCACTCTTCTGTGCGACGTGGTAATGGGAGACTGCCTCTCATAGTTTTGCAAGTGTACCCTTCTTTCCGTTTGCTCTGTCATCGCAGGTACAGCTCACGGAAGCGCTTGCGCCATTCGAGATAGAATTAACCCGACCTTCCTTTTCCATGAAGGACGTCACAAAGGCCAATGTGCAGATATGCATGTGGAAACCGCCAACAAACGAGGTGGAGGCAGCGAAAGGAACTGCCCAGATGCTCGTGAAGATAGTGGAGGAAAGACGCAAGCTGTGGACCCATTCGTCATTGCCCCCCAATTTCATGCATGCATTTGAGAGGACAACGTATCCCCTGGATTGCATCTACGTAAGCGGAAGCTTTCTCAATGGCGTGTGCCCCCCCTCCTGTTCTCGATAAACACTAATGCATACAATTTGTGCTTTCGATATACCTGCAGCATTCCAGATCGGACTTTCCCATGAAGCCTCGGCAAGCTCCCCCTTTTGCTAGGCGTACTACTCCCACGAACGGCTTAATGAGACCTGTTCCGAGTAAAGAGAACCTTTCAGGCTGTTCAAATAACCTGAGTGTAGACGCCGTCAATTTCCTATGATCATTGCACGGTAATCCCCCGCCTGCACATGTTGCAGTGTCCTACCCGCGGAGCTGCACACTGCTGCTGATGCACTGGCTGTTCTCATGTACGGCTGTGTATCGACGCAAATGGATATTGTTGATCTCATGATAACAGGGTAGACATTTTCTAATGTAGAATATTCGTAGGAAAAGAAGAAACAACAGCAGTAGGCCTCCAGAGTTAGGACAAAGTAGGAACCACCTACTAGTAGGAAGTGCTGCAGTGAAGAGTATACTCTTCCCTTGCTCGCCGAAATCAAGAACTACTACCTTTTAACCATTTTTATTGATAAAGAAAAACAGGCTCTTCTCAGCCACATCAAACCTGGAAGACAAACCATTGTACAGAAAGGGGACCAAAGATAGTAACGGTTCTCGCACACTTGTTTGTCGCCAACCTTATGGATGTTGGCGATGCATAAATTCGCAGAGTAATCATGTTAGACAGGTGTAATATCATGTCTCCATGCCATGAGAAAAGCATGGTTTAGAAGGATACTGTAGTCCTAAAAATGGTGTATGTGAAGCACACGAGGTCACAGCCTATCCCATCTATGTGAATCAAGACGTTGAAAATTTGATAGCTGGGTTTTGTAGATACGAATTGTTCACGACGCATCAGAAGTCCAGTGTGTGCTGCTTTAGGGTGCAGCTCCTACGTAGCCCAACAACTATTCAGGAAATCATGTTGATGTTTTGGAGGTGCACAAGGTGGCCTTCCAGCTATTGTGTGTTGGCATACTTCGGCACTCCCTCCGGTACGGGATGTCCTCCAGCCTAGCCGAGGATTTCCGTGAGCCGCACAAGTGACGGAAGTCTAAAGCGTCTCCATAGAACAGCAGAACTACCCGACACTCTGCGTGGGTCTTGAGAATAGCAACCCATAGACCTGGAACAGGGACACAAAGCAGGTGGGCCGTCAAGAATTGCACCACTCCGTGGTGCAATTCCTGCCTCAAGACAACAGAATTCCCCTGTGTGAGTACGCCCCCCTTTATTGCTTCTGCTGTCACTGCATACGATGGCTTGTGCACTGAATTATTCATCGTTATCCATTCTACACTCAAGCACAAATATCGCCTCAACTCCGAACGGACAACCCTCAACCGCTGAGCTCTTGAGTCGCTGTTTCAGGCGGCTTCGGAACCAACAGGAAGTTCAGTTTCCTTGGCGTAGATCTAGTCTAGTACATTTTTACTCCTTTGTAGCTCACGAAAGTCGACTCTACAAATTGAATATTGCCCTAGTGCGCGAGGTTGTGTAGCTAAGTCCACGTGGCCCTCTGTTACCGGTATGCAAGCAGACTTTTTCAACATGCTTCTTTTAAGGCGCATGCAACAAGAAATGCTCCGTTGGTTTTGCATGTATGAACTTCCTGCACCTTGTTGTTGCAAGGTACCGTGCGCCTCACGGTCCCCATACTCCTGCGGTGCAGCTGCAGGTGGTTGCGCCGCTGCGTACAGGACGTTTGTAGACTGGGGAGGGGGGTCAGCATACTGTACAATTCGCATTTATACGGTACCTATTTTGAATCCATTTCTGAGCTCAATATCACATAGAGGAGACCGAGGTTTACCTCGATAATTTGGGTCGAGACGCGTTGCCGAACGTTGCGGTGTCTGCGGATGGGAACAGTCTTTAACTCTGCAGTAGAGGTAAGTTTATACCAACCTCTGCTCAAAACTTTGTTTGCTTGTGCTGTTTATCTTGGTGGTGCAGGTCCTGTGCCACTAAATCAGAAGATCCCCTTCGGTTCAGACCAGCGGTGTAGACCGCTTCCGTGCCTTCGAATCGTGTGTCCACATGCGAGGTGTACAGATTTAATGCCGTGTTAAGTAAAAAACTAGATATTAATTACACCTCAGTTTGACTGAAAACTTCATTCTATTCACCGGGTACTTTTCGCGTGCGCGCGCTGGCAACTCCACTCTACAGTGGATCGTCGCTAGACTGAGGGTGATGTGGTAGAAGTACTGAACGTACCCAAGCCTCGCGTTTCGAAAACAGTAAAAATTTATACCAAATAGTGGAAAAGCAGAAAAAGACAGTGTGAAGTAGCACCGGCCACCTTGATTTCTTGGTGCAGCTGCGTGCACTGGAGAGTGCGCGTGCAGCACAGCGCGTAGCGGGCGAACTGCGGTGTCTCACCATGTTGTGTCTGCATCGCCCGCTTGGAAGCAATGAGACTTGACACCCAAGACTTGCTGACAAAAGACATTTTTAATCCTGGATGGGAACTGTCTTTACTTGAGTGCGTTTAAATATGTGCCGATCCGCCCCGCTGGTTGTCGCCTCCCTGGCATTTGTGGTTGCACTCTGCAACCAACTGGGGAGCGCGGAAGCTTCATCGACTGCTTCTAATGTGGCTGCGCCCCTTCACAATGAAACACAGGTGATCAATGAAAGTCTCTTTTCTCACAATGGCAGCTTGGGGGTCTCCAAGAGACGCATGAGGTTGTCACTAGCTCTTGTCTCCCTCCTGGCGGGCGTGGCTGCTCTTGCGTTTTTTGCTTTTTGCAGGCTGGAGAGCTGGGAGAGAAACCTGCTTCAAGTGACCAGGGGTTATCTGCTAGACGGCTTGCAGACAGGTTGGCAGATGAAAGGGAAACCGCCCCTAAATTCGGTCTCTACGGTGGAGTTCCCGTTTCCTATGATCCCTTGGGGAGACCTAAGAAGCTCCTCATCACTCTGGAAAATGGGAATTTTTTCCTAGAACACCCTTCCACAGGACAGAAGATGTATCTTATTGTGCAACATATGGAGGACGTCGGTCTAATGTTTCACGACGCCAGTACAGGAAATGACCTTGAATGGATGCTGCACCACCCTCACGAACTAAAGCCAGAACAGATACCAAAGGAGCAAACGGAAGGCGATGGAAAGGTCAGAAGGCGCAGAGATGCATCGTCGGGAAGGAAGGGGAGGAGAGGGGAAGTCACCGTAAAACAACCGACGAGACCAGATACGGGGGCCGTTGTGTTCCAACCCGAAGTACAACAGTGGACTCATGAGAAGAACCCAGAACATCCTTACGTGGTGTTCATAAGCGGAATCCCAGTTAAGATTAGCCGACGCACAGGAGAGCCCCAAAGAGTTCTTTTCGACGTTCAGCGTGGGTCTATTGTTTTTATCCATCCTGAATTTAACTTGCCAATGAAACTCGACCTCATTAATTCCGACCTAGTGAGCAGAGATGGCTCGTCGCCACGGGAGCTTGTTAAGCAGATTAAGGAAATGGGGCGATACCAATGACCAAAAGAATATATTCTGGCCTGTATATGCCAAAGTAAAATCCCCAGGAATATGGGGTTGCCTGCTCACTAGCAGGGGCAAACACGACAGTGTAAACATGTAAACACATGAGTTTTGAATACATTATCAATTTTTTTTTTGAATGAGTAACTGGGATTATTATTCTTGCCCAGTTGCAGGCAATATTTTTTTATGGACACCGCGCGTTCCCGGTACGCCCAGTTCATGTTTACCTATGTGAGCATCTGCATAAACTATCGAGATCAGGCAGGCTATTATAGTTGAGCTTAAATCGAAGCAGAGAGGGGATTGTAAGTTCAGGCGATTAGTGCCGCTTTGAGGTACCGCTTTGAGGTAGTTGCAGTAGTGATGGTAGAGTGAAGAAGTGTGATGTAGGTTGAGCACTACGTTGCCTGAGGACAGTGGACGGCAGAGTACAGAGCGAGCTCACCGTGTCGTGTGCTGCGGCATGAAGAGGGAGATGGCCAAATTAGGGGCATGTGAAGACGTACAGCGGAGAACGCTGTAACCTGGTCAGTGGTGTTGAGAGTCTACAGGAGCCGGTCGAGCATGGAGGCCGGCACATGAGAAGCGTGGAAATATGGCACTTATGATGGAGACGCTGTTGGCGATTACAATGCACACTCCAACACAGCTGTACGTGAGAATCTGGTTGGAGCACCACGATACACTTGTAAAAAGGTTGACGGGAGTGTTACCGCAGTCTATTTAAGGATATAAAGGGTAACTGGTCCAAGAACAATCTGCATTGGGGAGGTGTATGAAACTGTCGAGTAATTGTTGAGTTAAGCAAATGGGATGCTCACTGGGGCTTACTGTTTGACAGTAAAACTCATGCACTTCGAAAAGCTGCCCTGCACTGTAACCTACTAGCCTCGTGACATGATATGCCGTTCTATGTCCACTGACTGCTCTGAATTGAGGCATCAAGTGAGACTGGCCTGCATGCCCACAAATGTTCTGTTGGGCTTTCTCCCGCATAGCACTTCGCTTTACCCCTCAAATTGTAGAGAGGAGTGTAAAACCGCAAAGCTCCGTCATGCTGTGTGAAGTAAGTAGGATGAGGAAAACAAGTTCAGTAAACGTCCAGTCCACTCTCATCTCGCTTAGGCGAGTGAAGGGCGCCTTTACACTTGTTAAAGCCAACTGGAGCGGGCAAAAAGTGGCAAAACACTAAGAGGACAGCTGCAAGCACGAAGAGTTAAACATGTGTGTGAGCTCCTCTCATGCTTATGGTGGGAAGAAGGCACCATTCTTGCGAAGCAGACCTTGAGGGGATATTTTGCAAATATTGGTGAGGAAGGAACCCTGGCTACGCACATCCCCACCAAGCCTATTTAGCAGCGCGCCCTTATGGCCCACGTACCCCTCGCCGAATTAACAGTTACTCCGGATCTTAGTGCATACTAAAGCACAACTGAATTACAAATAATCTAGATAACCATATTCCCTAGGAATTTGCCTCATCATTGTGTTTGCAGTAAAAACGAAGTGGTACACTTGAGTGTGGGTATGCGGCCCGTTGGACGGACGAGCGAGGGGTTTGCACGGAGGTGAGGCTAATTTAGTTTCAACAGCTAATGAAGACACTAAGTAATCACTTGTTATTTAACAGCTCAGATTGGGACTTACAGAGTAAGCGATCATTGAGGTAATGCTGCAGCTGTTGGCAAACGAGCTCACTGTGGCTGGACCATTGGTTTGTCATTCACCGCTGGGCCCAGACAGCAGACGGCTCTGAAAGAGAAATTTTCGTCTGTGAAACATATCTGCATTCAACTGGACTTTTGCATTTTGTTCTGTTTTCATGAATTCATGATATGCTCAAAATTCGTCAAGTACTTCAGCGGCGGCGAAAACCTATCGCAGTCTTCTGTCGGTCCGTACTTGAGGCTGCTTGGATGGGGCTGTGAATCCACGTTATTCGCTCTCCTCAGTTTTGTCTTGGACCCAAACTATATGTTGAGTACAAATTGTACGTGTATTATATTGGGGAATTCACTTGAAAATCTGCAGTGTGCATCTCTGGGGACATCTTGACCCGGGGTTACCGACCCGCCGCCGCCACCGCTTGTAATTTGTGCGACAAACTATCTGGGGTGGATTCCAGGGCACAGCAAATTAACTTAATGTTTTTAGAGAAGAGTGCCTGGAAATTGAGCTTTGGACCTGCCAGCAGTATTCATCGGCGATCTTGTATTCCCCTCCACCGCTTGCACCCAGAGAATCTATCTGGCAGAGGGAAGGTGAAAGGCCACAGAGGTTCTCCTCGCGTCCAGTGGTGACCTTGTCCCTGGCACCGTCATGGAGGTTGGTTCTGTATTGTCAGGTTCTCATGTACCCGCTTGTGTATATCTTCAAACTCTACGTGGCCTTCCCGGGGAGTCAGACAATAAACTTGCCTCAACGCGTGCAGCGAGGCATATCCGCCTAGAACAATTCTTCAATAGAACCGCAGAGGCCTGCAGTTGCTTGAGGAGAATCTTTTTTTCACTGTTCACAGGACCGCACAAGGAGCGACACTCTAATGTCGCTCGTGTCGACCATTCAATGCCGGGTGCTGCCCTAGCAAGAGACGAGCGTGAGGCAGGATGGAACCCACGGCCTCGCTCCTTCACTGTGAAGCCAACTCTATTCGTGAAAGGGAGCTTTGTATTAGCATTAATATGCTCCGTACAGTTTGCCGCATGTGTTCGACACTTGGGAGACGACCAACGAGCCTGGCCAGATGCCCCTCAGGTGCACTCCTCGACTGAAGTCCTGCGGGCTGAGGCCATCAGCCTAATGAGGCATCAGTTTACTCAGTTGGAGCGCCAGAAAGTCTTGGAAGCAGATGCAGAACCATCTTTATCATCCCCTTGCAGCTCGACTACAAAATCCTCAGTCATGCTGCAGCTAGCAGGGTCAGTAGCAACTGCTGCAGAAACTCCATCTGAAGGGGTCTTGAGCAGCTCGGATAGCCTAGGAGCCATTCTTGTGGGGGATGCTGACGGCAGAAGGGCTATGGAGATGACGACTCAAAAGGAACTGGACGTGCGAGGGGGGGTCATGACTGCTGAATCGGGGCCTTACTCGTTTTTGAACTGGGGACAAATAGGGGGGATGATGCAGAGCCCAGCTCTGGCACATACAGGCATGCCAGTGTATGTGCCTCGCCAGGTAGTGGGCACCACCGTTGGGCTTGATTTTGATTCTCCTGCCACTTTTCACGGTCCCTTGCTGGTACTGCTTATGGTCTGCATCCTGATCTTCTTTATAGTGCTCCTGCTCTGCTGTTGGCTGGTCAAAAGCAAACAGAAGCATGACAAATTTATGGCTGAGAAACTCCCCCGCTAAACCCCCACAAGCAACCTGGGAACCCCCCAGTGGAAGGCGGAGAGAAAAAGCCACGAAAACAAACAACGAACACCAAAGAACCAGGAGGGCACATGGGACCGCGAACGGCACGCCAGACTAGCCCCCTACTGTCCTTTGTCGTCGTCATCTCCAGATGGAGCGTAATTGGAGGTTGCAGTTGCATACACCAAAAACCGGCAGTAAAGGACAGCTGCCTGGGCATCATTTGAATACTAACCGACCCGAGTGGGAGAGGGAAAGGTGGAAACCGTGTGGGCCAAAAACACTGTTGTTGGCGCAGTCAAAAACACTGTTGTTGGCACAATCAACTTTCTCTCAAGTATATTTGGTGATAGCCTTCGTTTTTCTTCTAGGCTACCGCCCAATTCATTTCCTCGTCATTAACTGGAGCGGTATAAGTGCCCCGTCTTTTGCCATGGGCGAATGTACTCTTATTTTGTCAACTCCTAAATCCATCGGCTCTCTTGACAGCTGCAGAGGTAGGCTACACTTTTTAACGTTTCAAAGTAGCCGTACAGCACCCTAGGCCATACTCATTGGGCATGCCTACCAAAGAGAACTGCATAAAGCCTACTGTACTGCAGTTCCAGCACACAACTGTCAGGGCCCTTGCAGTGTCTATAGATCTCGCAAAGCTATCATTGCCTTTCCACCACCTCCACTGCATACAGAAGCCAGTGCCACCGAAGTTGTTAATGGCTCGCCGAAGGGGCACCGCAGTTCCCATCGTCCGCCCGGTTTATACCGCCTTCGAAAGGAGGATACCCACAACTGGTGTAGTGTTAGACAAGCACACCCCATTGCACTCGGAGGGTACAGAGAATACCTTTCTCAGGGTGCGTGCCAGGCGCTATGACTTCTGGCCCAGAAGGAGCGTGCAAAGCATCCGTCATGAACGCTAAAAATAACAGATATGTAGGGGACAATGGAACAGAAACCAAGCTCAAGCTGGGCTGTCAAAACACTCCACTCCAAGAAGCCCTTGGCCCGTCTACAGCTCCCCACGGCCACCAGATATTCTGTCAACACAAACGACCTCCTCGGCCATGTTGAAGCTCGACATACCCGTATACTTTGAGGCTGGACGTATCCGTATAAAGGCTTCCAGCCCTCTGCATTCACCTCGTCACAGTCGTCATGATAACACGGCGGCCCTTCTCACATGTTGACGCTTCCCTTGACCCTGGAAGATCCAGTCCGAACTGGGTAGGCAGCGCTCCAGCAGCACGGAAGGGAAGAGGGAATTTCAGGTGCTAAAAAATTCTGCCCAGGCGCTCCGGACAAACCCAAGAGCTGCGCTACCAACATGCGTCTGGGAGTTTCCGCTCGCATCCCCGCCTCCTTGGGATGCCACTTTAGGCAAGACTACTTGAGCCCTGCAATTGGGACAGGTGGCGCTGCAGCGAAGCCATGCCCTTGCACATTCCCAGTGAAACGCATGGCCGCATGGCAGGGTTACGGACTCTGTGCCATCTTGCAGCTGCAGCGTACAAACGGTGCAGCTGGGCGCCTCCGGCTCGCCCCCGCCAGTTGGGGCTGCTGACGAAGCCGCGGATGTTGATAAAGATTGAGCCTGCAGTGCCTTCCCCGGTGTTACCACCGCAGCAGCGCCTCTTGTCTCCCGTTCTGTTCCCTTGTGCACTTCCTCCTGTTGCGGTCGCGTGCATAGGTGACCATACACCCGTTGGTATTCGGCAAAGCAAAAAGGCCCCACCAGCTGCCGCTTCACAGCCGCCTCTAAGCCCTCATCGATCCCCCGAGAACCTCCCCTCATACCTCCAGAAGGGAGTACCCTCAGAAGAAGCTGCGGATCCAATGACTGTACAAGCGACATCCAACACCCAGCAGCAAAACTGCATAAGTGAACACGAAGCGTGCACATAACGGTTCAGTAGGCAGTCAAATCCAACAGCTGCCAAAAAAAGGAATCGATTAACAGTAACGGGAACGTTCACTGAGATCGCCAAAATACTGTCCCAACACATATCCTTGACCCCCAAGCCCCACAGGAAATGTTCACCCCAAACCATAGCCTCAACCCTAGGTCAAACCTGCGCTATGACCCACACCGTAAAGCGGCTCCTAACCAACACCTAAGGCAGAACCTAAACTGCCTTGGAGCCAAGCTAGGCCGACAGAGTTGAAATAGCTATCCTTTATGGGCTTATCTATGTGTTCCAGCCATACACGATTGCATACAAGGAACCCCACGCACCTGCGCTGCTGCCACAATGGCAAAGGGTTGCACCCGCGCCGGGAGGCGGCGGACGCGGGAGAGGATCTCCGGAGGCAAAATGTCGATCAGGGAAGGATTAAGAGACCCTGAAATCAAGGCACAACAGCATAAACAAGGACCAAAGCCCGGCTAACAACGCCTAGTATGCGATAAACATTCACGCTGCACAACTCACAAAAAATACATGTACCAGGATGCTTATCCTGGTACAACAAAATGTAAATATATACGTACACAAATTGCCTATGGTGGAAAAAAAGTAGTTATGTAAGTGAGATGCTAATAATCGGTCAGCGCACCCTCAAAGTGTACAACTGTCTCTGGTCCTACACGAGCGACAGGTACAGTGGAGGGTTCCGTGGCAATAACCTTAAATTCAACTCCCCTGCAGTCAATGGAACAAGAAACGCTGGTGCCACAGTATTAGTAAACTCATACGACTGAGGGGAGAGCCAAAAAGCCCACAGAATGCTCTGTATCCAACAGACCTGAAGGTGAATATGTCCCCCTTTCTTATCAATCGCCAGGGCTGCTCCTTTAGAAAGGGTTGCAAATAATCCTCGAAAAGACGGAAAGAATATGTCGTCGGCAATGTGTCCGCAAAAGGCAATATGTGAACTCGCCTATACTCGCCCCAAGGATCCACGGATATGTAGATAGCCTGACCCACGCAGACATCATTATAATCACTGCTCATATAGCATCATGCAAGACGAATGCGGTTCAAGAATATGAGCAACAGAACTCAATTACGTTGGGAAAGACACTCAAGGGTGATGCAGAGGGTTTCTGCAGCCTCACCGTGTCCTTCCAGACGAAGCCTGGTCCGTTGCCCGGATCTGTAGCCCAAACAACAAACGTTAAATCTTTGATGACAAGCTTTTTACCGGGAAACACAACCACTGCGGTGTCGCGACAGCTGTCACCATATGTTGACGTGGCAGGTGAGGGGAGGCAAGACGCTCCCCCACTCCGTGCCAGAAAGTAGGGGGCAACGAAATCATGAAACAATACTTCTTCACTTAAGTTGAACGCCCCATTTTCACGGGATCCAGACCTTGGGAACTCACTCCCTCCGCCTCCAGTACATCGGTCGCCGCCGGAGGAAGGCGAGAAGTTAAAGTTCAGCTGCAAAGTCCGTTGCTGCCGGAACAAAGGCTGCTCCTGTTCCTGACCTTGCTGCTGCTTATCCTGCTGTCTCCTTTGATCGCTCGAAACAGACGCTGTGAGGTATTCTTCAGGCCCAGGAGCATCACAGAGACGGAAAGGTATGCCTCCACCCATGTCTTGCTCGTCACCCGACTCCCCTTCACCCGACTCCGATCCGTGGTCGGAATCATTGAGTACTGCAGCAATGACTTCTTCCGCTCGGTTGTACTCTCTCTGCGGCACTTGCCGTCTTCGTCGCCTCTCTCCAATACCATCTGGAGAGCCCCAGTCGAAAGGAGAGCCTAGCTGCCGATGACGGTGCTCTGCTTCAGCACCTGAAGCTGGGGCTTCTGCAGTGCTTTCTGTGAGGGTTCTACTGTTGTTGCTGTTGTTGCTTTCCGAGGTTACTGTGGGGCGATAGGGCCCCTGATTTCGCTGGTCGTCGCGGATGCCACTGTTGCTGTTGCTGCTGGTGCTATATTCGCCCACAACCCCTCTCTGTAGTGCCTCTGAGTAAGAGGCAACGCCTGCCCGGCGTGCATAAGCGCTGTTTGGGTGGATAAGGGCCAATAGCTGCACTCGGCGCAGAGGCTGGAGAGGACTTCCTGACGTGAAGACGAGGGTGGACGACGTTATAACTCCTGAATGCGGCAGACACGCAACAACGATGTACGTGTAGTCATCGTTAGATTCTTCTGACCTGTTGCCCGGTTCGCCACCTTGATGCTGTTGCTGACGTTCCTGTTCCTGTCCCGACTTTTCTTCCTGCCGTTGCTGTTGCATCTCTTGCTGTTGCTGCCTCTGCTCCTGAGCCCTTGTCCTGGTCTTTGAGCTATTCGACTCCCTGGCCGGGCGCTTGACTTTTAGGTACAGATACTGACGAACAGCCTTCCCTTCCTTCATAAGCCGTGTGAGGGTGGCGAAGACCCAGTCCTTTGGAGCCTCCCGAGAGACAGGGAGGAGATGAATCTTCTCTACAGCCGTCCTTTCTGCTTGTGTGTTGTCATCAGCGCCACCGTTCGACTCCTGCGGAGAGACTGAAGAGCACGGTTCACTGCCAGCTTGGAGATCTGCTTCTGTAGTTTCAGCCACTGTAGAACCTAACGCATCTGCAGGGAGACAATTTCTGGCTGCGTTGTGAAGGTCCATCGCCTCAATGTTTGCCGGCTGTGCCGGCTGCGCTGCGGAGCGCGGCATCGCGGTCTGTTCCGGGCGTTCGACCTCAACAGAGATTCGCGTTGCGGGAGAAAATGGGAAAACTTGGGAACAGGGAGTTTTAAACAAAATGAAGGACAAATGGGAGATTCATGCATCAGCGGACAAGCAGACAGGCAAGAAAACAGGAACCGGTTGCACACCAGCTGTGTGGCCGAAACTCACACCTCCCGGAGCCTCCCCCCTTAAGAGAAGATCAAGCGTCAGTAAGAAATGACAATGAGAAGGCGATTTATAGGAAAGGAAACGATGGACGGTATGCATATGTGCTGATATCCTGAGCGCTCCGGAACCAGCCGGTGCAGTGGAGAAGCCGTCGGTGACAGGCGTTTCAGATGAGGGTGACAAATTGGGCACGTGTTTCACAGCATGCCATCGTTAATTAAGCCCCATACAGTCCCAGAAAACTAGTGTAAAAACCTGGATTGACAAAGAAGTGAGTAATGATTACATTGGGTCACCTAGCACGTCTTTGTTGCGGAAACGGAACGAACACAACGCGGAAAGCGCCACCCACCAGACACTAGAAAAGAGAGGAAGGCATCCCTCTCTGGGTTTCACACTTTTCTTATGTGTCCGATTTTGAAGAGTATCACAATTCAGCGTGTTTTTGTTTTTATTGCTGACGTCGCATGGACTACCACAGCGAGTTAACCAGCACGCGGGCACCATTTCGATAACACACTTGTGCAATCATCATAGGTCTGTACTCACAGTGCTGCTGCTTCCCTCCTTCAGTAGTACCCAAGAATATAAGGTGCATCAGAATAATTCACAAACTTCAGGGCCACGAAGAGCCGCCAGCTTTGCAAATTCTGGTCTGACTCCTGTCCGTACATACCCTTTTATTATATACACCCTTATAAAAAAAATGGCTTCGCCGTACATGTATGTGGCTGCAGCTCCTATTGCTGTTGCTCGGTCTGCAGCCGTAGGATAGTCTGTCCGGTGTTGGTAAGGGTGTCTGACGTTGGCGCACAACCGTTACCTGGCCTTAGTTTGCAGCTAACAAGCAAAGAGTTCTCGGCAAATGTCTACAGTGCCCACACATACCGTCAAGAGAGTTTTCTTGTACTTACATGTGGAGCTTTCCTGAACTTAATGGTGAAACAAGGTGCAGTGGAACTGGCAGCGGGCCTTACCATCTCCAGCAGCTCAAGGATTTTGGAGCTTGCACTCAAGATGCCTCGAGAGTGGGAAGGCAGATAAGCTGTTCCAAAGGATTCACATCAACTATTTTGGCTCAAGTGGGCCTTCCAATACTCATCGGGAAAGATCGAGGGCTTGCCTTACAGCGGTATTATCTGTCTAAAATCAGTGAGAGAATGTCTGCATCCGTTAACCCTGACGATAGGTGTCGAACAATTTTGTACAGTTATAGTGCAAGCCGGAAGGTAACAGTTCGTTACACCTGCATGTGGGGCGACCTTGCAGCAGCACTTGCAGTAGACAATTCTGCAACTAACAGTGCAAGTGTACTGTAATTTTTGAGTGCGGCTACGGGTCCACGGTTGTGCCTGCCTCCATGATATACTGGAATCTGGGAAAACTGCTCATCGGGACCAAATGGAGTATATACTGCTGACTCCTGCAACTTGCAGGGGGCTACGTATTTCGGCGCGATGAGGCACTGGAAACTTCTGCTCCACCGTGAGGATGTTGGATGCTGTTGAAGACTGCGAACATGCTGCAGCTACAACTTCCATATTTCTTCGCCAATACCGGATTGCCTCCAAATGCGATACTTGGCAGTTGGACTGTGCCTTTTCGTAGCAGTTTTTCTGCATGTCGTTCGAGTTGATCTTCTAGAGATGATGAATGCCGATATCTTGGAACAACGCTCTGTCAGGAAATGAGTTCGATACGATGAGTCGGGCGCCCAGCTGAAGGCTTCCCCGTTCGTAGCTCATTGCTATTCAGTACACTTGAGAATCCTCTTCAATTGTGCCAACCGTAGCTGTTCTTTGGGTATCAGAACACAGAATTCCTACAACGACGGAGAAGAACGTTCATTTCTCCGCCCTTTTTTCGCATTATCTGTGCACTACGAAAGGGCCTCCGCTCTCCTTCCTACTTGCCACAATTCTTCCACTTCAACTGTAGGTGAAGCAGATTCCTTTTACAGTGCTTAGAGGACCACGCGGTCCTCGTCTTCTGGAACACGCACATGGAAAGCATTGCCAGGAAAGTGCATGGGCGCCATGCTGTGGGTAATCCGGTGCACGCTGAATTTGGGCTTTGGTACACGCCCCGTACGGAATTACAAGAGTAACAGCGCCAAGGAGTGACCTGAATGTTGGCACCTCCTCACCACTTCCACAGGTATCGGATTCATATCTCAACCTGTGTCGATAGCGCTGGCAACGGCAACATGGCCGTTAATACGGACTTAGGTAAGCACAGGTTTCACTCAACTATGGCTTGCGGCTGCTGCTGTCACCCATCACCTCGTCACCCTACCACTCCATTGCAAATTTTGTGGGGCCCCCGGCGTTCCTCTGACCTTCTTCTTTGCTCATCTAGATGTGCTGAGTACTCCTGCACTCGCGAATCATGCGACCGTCAGTGCAGAAGGACAGCTGAGCCGCAATAAAACCTCCCGGCTTTCTGAGTATCCAGTGGTTCGACTGCTTCCAGTTTCTGCTTTTTTTGCGTGGGATTCGGCCTTTCGGTCCCGAACATCCATAGCCTTAATATCTGCATCTTATGGTGTTCTCTTGCCTGCCCGTTGGATAGGTAGATATGCTGTTTTCTCTGTCTTCGATGCCTAAGTATGCCATTTCCGCTACGCCACCCACTCCATCTTCTATTTCCATTTTCAAGGCATGTACGGTTACGGGCTGCATTTCCCTATTAGAATTCTCCCCCAAAATACCGTCGATACAGAAGTTCTTATCACACCGTTGATGTCCAACACAGACCGGTAAATCCAGATATAGCATTATATCGATAGCTTTCCTTGTTTCGGCTTCTCAACTATGGCGTAGTCGGTTCCCTTGGTGTCCTATGAATAAATATCCTTATACGGTAGAATAGCTAGCAGCCACCATTGCCATGTCTTCCCTTCTAATAATGAGGATGCAATTCGCTGTTGGAATTTTTCTGGAGCCTGCTGGAGGCGAACAATAAGCTCTAGAGTGGAATCCTACACCTCTCTTCTGTCACCTCAACCGTCAAACCTGGGTGGTTGACAACACCGAAGGCATTCCTCACGACTTTTTGTCGTAGAAAGAACATTTTGCGTTGGATGGGACGCAGATATTGCGCTTGATTAAATTTTACGAGTTCCCTTGCGGTTGGACCCTCCCCACAAGACGGCTGTGTTATATATCAGTCCTCACTGTCCACTGCTGTGCGACCAAGTGTAACGGGGGTCTACGGTCTTATTCTAGGATCACTGTGGGTTGCGATGAGGGCCTAGATACTTACAGTAAGCAACAGAACCCATTTCTCAATATCTTGATCTGCGGGAGAAGACATGGCCTCCTACATGTTGCAGCTCACCGCTTCTCACGGCCCACGACAACCTCTTTTGGGAGAACAAGCCTCCATAACCGAATGGACGAAAGCTGTAGACGACTGTTTGCTCGTGTTGTTTGTCTATTTGGGACGCATCCAATTTGATATGCCCCCTTCAGAGAGAGTTGCCAGCCCTTCACAAACCATGTTACAGTGTACAACCTACGCCCTAGCCAGTGGATAAACCGTGATAATTTTACACAGTATTATTAGTATTATGCCCGATTGTTTGCACCTACAGAGCAGATGCACTAAGCTATTGTTGAATCTAGTCAAGGGTCAGGGAAATCTCACGGCCCCAGTTACAAACAGCAGAGAGGAAGGATGTTGTTGCCCGTTGTGTTTGGTAAAGGAATCGTGCTGGACTCGGCTGTGCCAGAGGCAATCGAACTGCATGTAGTTACTAAAAATTGTTGCATATATGCCTGTGGAAAAAAGAGACGAAGTGTAAGTCTAATGTGGGAACCATGTGCTACAGTGTTCGCCGTCGTTATTGGTTGTGCGGCGGGTCCAGCGAATGCATGCAGTGCTACCCTCCATCACTTACGTTGTAAATGAACATGCCGACAAATATGAGATAGAATATGCCTTCTACTTCATTGAACAGAGGAATTGTTGAATGATTTTTTTTGGCCTACCGTGTTGCCAACTGGAAGTTTGGGACCTCCCCAGTGTATGCTCTGGCCGCGGTTGTACGGTAGCTGAGCACAGCATCTGTGCTTTTCTGCATAGTCGATGGGCCCAATTTACGTTGTTTCAGGTTTTCCATGATCGTTACTTCTACCTGCTCACACCGACTACTGTGCAGCGGTAATGGCAGTTTTTCTCCGCATCTTCAGCCAGCGGCACTCCCCGAGAAGAAGCACACTTGACGATGTAGCAGCCGTTTCTCCTTGTGAGAGGGAGGTACTGACTATCGGAAAACCCCCACGGGCAGCACAGTCTACTACTGAAGGCTCTGAAGTGTCCGGCGACTCGGAGGAGGCACCATTACCATGGGGCTGCACAAAATCTTTAATCGCAGGGCTTGCTTTTAGTGTGTTCTTGGTGCTATTGTGGATTTTGCCGGTTAAAGAGGTGCTGCGTCATGTTGTAGAATGCCAAAGAAATAGCCCTGCTACATACGTCTTAACTTACATCGTCGCTGGACTGCTCGTTCCCGCCCCGCTGCTTTCTGTTTTGGCGGGTGTTTTGATGGGCCCGTCGCCTCTTGCTGCGTTCGTCATTCTCTGTGGGAGCTTGGGTTCAGCCTGTCTAGCCTTTGCTATTTCGCGTTTCCTGTTGCGACAGTTTGTTGTCCGTCGGTTTGTGCGTCGCAGTAAACAACTGCAAGCCATAGAGCTAGCTTTGCAGAAGGACTCAGTGAAGCTTGTCCTGTGCACGAGGATGCTACTACCTTACACTTTCAACAACTATTTCCTTGGGACAACCCCTATATCGGCCACAACGTTCGCGCTTTCAACGGTCGTGACTGGCGTTCCTTTTGCCATTATATATGCAATAATCGGAGGAGAGCTTCAAAGCCTCGACAGCGCACTGGATGCGAAGTCATTTGCGCTTCAGGGGACAGAAATCGATGTCTTCGGACTTTGCACAGTGTCCAAGAAGCATTTGGAGGTCACAGGGATATGTGCAGGCATTTGTTTGTGTTTTTTTGTGGTGCGGACGATTAAACAGTTCGCCTCTCGCGTTATTGCAGAGGCACAGCTCGAGTCAAGAGGCTAGAAGACGCGATAACAACTGGGCAGCTATCCTCTGCCCAAATCTGCCCAAATGCAACGCTTTGGGCATTTGAACAGAGAGGTGCAGTTAAGCCAGTTCATATTGTTGTATCAATTGTGAACTGTAGAGGATTTGTGCTTGTCTATAGTAGACGTAATGAATAGACGTTATACTTCCAGAAAGTAGTAATTGAGAGGCAACAGCTACAGTGCTGCTGTAGGGCCTGTGGGGAGCACTGGCCTCGTTGAACAGCTTAATTCTTGTTGGTGGTCCTGAAAGGCACATAGTTGAGAACGAGCAGACGCCTGATAGCTAAAAAATCAGGAGCATGCGGAGGGACTAGAGTCCGGATTGTGTGTTTTGTAGCATCCGAAGCTCTTTAAGATGCCCAGGATGACACTGAATATAATTATGTGGCCTTCACGGACACGGCGGCGTCTCATAGATACTCTGCTGGGATGATAACCGAAGCAAATGAACGGGGTGCCTACAAGAGGGTCTGCGTTGAAGTCTAGTGGGGCCTCATGCGGTGACCTACAGTCGCGAAGGAGCATCAGAAAAGCTAAAAACGAAGCAGGCAACAAGGCACTTGTTTTTTGAGTGAGGATGAGTTAGGTGTACTTCACTTTCGTGGGGCAGGTTGCTGGGCCCCGCAGCATCGCTCGCCCTTCAGGACGATATTAAATAGTCACTTCGATGGGTGACCGGTCGTTTGCGAATCTCAACTCTCTCTCTGTGACATTAACAGGATTTCCATGGCTGAAACTAGCTTATTGTGATACGAGTGGCTAAGTGAAGAGCTCTACACCGTGTGGTGCAAGCAACGAGCGGCACAGAAGCAAGTGATCATATGGCTACCACTAGACTCTTCGCCGAGACGACAGGGTCTCTTTAACGATGACATGCCAAGTATGAACTTGTCCTTTTTAACATAAGATCGATTGCTTTTCCTTTTTAGACGCCTTCTGTGGGGTGTCATCTCTCTTTTTTTTTTTTTAAGGGGACTACGGTGGCGGGTGCAGCAACAGCGGTCTTCCACATCGGGAAGTAGGGTTCGACAATTGGATCTTTCGTTCACTGTCTTTATATCATTCATTTCCTTTAAACTATCAGTATATTTGTTTTTGCCCCTTACCCCCTCCCACCCCAGGCGAGCATGGAACGGGGAGGGAGCTTATCGGCGCCGAGGCGCGCTGGTCGGATGAATCCATCAATTTTTAGATGGTTCTACATGGTTATCTTTATTACAAGGTTTGTGGACGCTTCATGGACGTCCCAGACTGCTTCAGTGAGTCCCGAAGACACTCCGTATGCAGTCCTTCGGCCTGCAGAGGAATCGCACCAGAGGCGAATTCAAGATATCCTCAGACGCATTGAGGATGGCGGCGTTCCTTCAACCGCGGCACAGTTTGAAGCGCTCTTCGTACATCTGCTTCGAGAGGCAGGTACTTCCAGTATGACAATGAAGTAGACAACTGTGTTAGGGACCGCGAATGTTTCCTGCACCAGCGCAGCAACTCCTCTCTCCGGGTTTTTGCATGACTTCGGCCTCGTAGCTTCAACAGCAGCCGCTGATGCTATTGGTGTTCATCTAGTATGTTACGTGGCGTCATATCTGTTTTATAGAGGCGTGTATTCTGCAGGGAATTACCGTGGCGGAGGACAACTCCAGATAGGGAGGCTGAACAGTTATTTGGCGCAGGACGAGGAGTTTTCCAGGACGACACTACCATTCTTGGCGAGCGTTGCTAAGCATATATCGGATTTATTCCCGAAGGTATGCTTCTTGGTTGCAGTGCACATGATTGTGAACTGTATTGATGTTTTGGTTCAGATCGTTGTGTCTTCTGTGATTGCCTTCTCTGTTTGGGCGGCGTCAGGGACTGAAACACATGACGAGATCCCACCCCTCGGTGCATTTGCGGAGAATTCAAGTACTTTGTTTGATGGCTGCAAGCTTTTTTGGGATAATTCCTCAAAAACAGAGGAAGTTGTTGCGCAGTTGGGGCAGGTTGCGTTTAAATGCGCTGGACATGCATCACCGGGGATTCTTCGAACGGGAGCCGAAGCTGAAGGCCCTCCTGATTTACTTCGGTTCCATGCAAAAGACCATGAGCGGTTGCTGGCAGCAGATGCTTAAGGACAATGACTTCACACAGGCGAAGTGTACGGCCACTTGCTTGTGTCAAGAAATTACCTTTGAGGGGAGGACGAGAAAAATTTCCCCAGCCGACGAAATTATCAGCTTTTACTTGCACACTCCGGAGGCTACCACATTCGAGGCGCCTGAGGGGGAACAGGTGTCTCGAAGCGAAGTTGATGTTAGTAAGATCATTTCTCAGCCGCTCCCCCTCTCAGGTTTAACAGTCGACGTGCATGGAGACATAACAAAGAGTGATGGGGATCTGCAGGTGCGCCACAGTTGTTTGTGTTTGCTGGGGCAGCGGACTTCGTTGAGTAGGAATTATGCATATGCGTGCATAGATTCAGCATCATCTGGACAGCAGACAGTTGTGAGTATCCAGGCGTACATAATTATCTGAATTCTGTTGCTTACAATGGGTAGGTGCATTTGCTCACGACATGCATTTTGTTTCGCAGGTCGACTTTGCAGACATGTATGTTGGTGGTCTTAGCATGTGGGCAGGCCACGTTGCCCAGGAAGAACTAATATTTGCGTTGAGGCCTGAGCTGCATGTTATTATGCTGTTCCGGGAAGCCCTTAGAGATGATGAGGCAGTTGTTGTTAAGGGCGCTGAGAGCTTCGTACTGTATTCAGGTGACAGTCTACGCTGAGAACACTAATGCACAGTTACTGTTTGTACGAACTTACGGCTACCAGCCGCTGTGAGATCCGGGGTAATCGGAGTTCTGGAGAGCTGGCACAGCGAACTCTGTAGCATTAGTTCCCCATCAAGTCCAAGCGTAAGTATGCCTGCGTGCATTTTACAAGCATTGGCTGAGGCTTGTATTCGGTGTACGGTACGATCAGGTTATGAAGGTACCTTCCAGGTGTTTCCTCCTGTTGTTCCCGCTGGCTCTCATTGGAGTGTCCACGGCCTTGCTCCCTTGGATTCGATGGGACGACGCGAGACAACTGTAGTCGCTATTGATGCCATAGTTGTTAAGAATGAAAGGGAGCAGTACTCCATCCAGAGCATGAAGCGAGAGATCCTGAAGGCAGCTCTTGGCTTTCAGGGAGACCCGTTTGAAGATGTCATTCATGAAACAAGGGCTGGGGTAGCGACCGGCAAGTGGTGAGCAAGTGGAATGCACATTGCATCTGCATTACTCCTCATGTAACAGGCTTCTACTGGGGGGCTGGTTCTTACTAATACTGTGGTATAGCTTCTCTGGGTGTTCAGGGGATGCGTTATATTTGGCGGTGACAACCAACTTAAGTCTTTATTGCAGTGGATTGCTGCCACAGCCGCCGGGCGAGAGATGCACTACAAGGCATTTGGGGACGCGACTTTGGCACACATGGAGGGGACACTGTCGGCGATTCGCCATAGATTCCCCACCACAAAGGATCTTTTCGAGGCGATTGTACAGTGCATTCAGCAGAGGGAGGAGACACCCATCGGCAACTGGAGCCTGTGGCAGTCGTTGCTGAATCTTAAAGTAGGGAGTCCAGAGTGAAGCGCGGTTTTTGTCACGCACCCGACAGTGGCCAAACCTTCAATGGGCTGCCTGGCTAGCTGGACCAATGTTCGACTTGGTCATGCGCTCGCAGTACACTGTCTAGCATGCCAGGTCAAAGTTGGGCATTAGCAATGAGCACAGTCAGCAACCTCCATGAAGCCTTGCCAAGCAACCACCGAACTCATTACAGAGTCCGGTGGCCGCATGGGCAGCCAGCATCTGCTGGTGCTTGAAAATTTGCAGCAGTGACAGTCCTCAGCAATTGCGTCTGATGGTCAGGAAGAAGACTGATGCGCACTCAGTGACGCACACATGTTTTCTTTAGCACATTTAAGTGTCGAAGAGATTTCTACAGCCGAATATATTTTTTGGGTCCAAACAAGTCTTGACTCCACGTAACACGGTCACGCCTGATTACAAGGGCAGCGCAGTGCGAATCCATGTTTTCATTCGAGCATTCCCGGATTCGCTGCTTGAAGTAGGGCGCAGGGTAAGTGGGCTGTCAAACATCGGTGCTTGCGAGATAGCGAACTAAGAGCTGGCCTACTTGTTTCTCCCACGGCATTAGGCAGGAACTCGCGGCGCAACTTCCCGACGCCATGGTGGTGCGAAATACTCCCCCCGAGGGCCATTATGACATTACGTGCACCATCCTCAATTTGTTTGTAGACCTGAAGGCAAACACTGTGGCCGCCGTTTGCCATTTAGTTGCGCCTATGCACGGGGTAAAACTGCATTTACTCACCTCTACGTGGCCTGCGTGCAACGCAGCTGCGCCTCAGGCGGCCTCTTAGTGAGGAGGGGATATGTAACACATCTCATACAAATGAACGCACTCTAGTGCGATGTCAGGACAGGAAGCCGGTAGCGCTCTGTATATCACATGTGTTGTGCAAGGTACAGCAGGGCAATGCTGGACATCCACGAAGGGCGGGGGGGCAGAACGGCACAAGGGCAGGACACGCCTTTAACAATTACTCGTTGAACTGGGGCCGAACGAACCTTCATGGGGCTATCTATTCCTTTCCAGTTAAATCCGAAGTAAAAGTACAAAACTGCTCCCGTGTCGTAGACCTGAGTCAGCCGAGTCATGACAAGCGGTGGATGCTTAATGCCACGGCGTTTGCATTCCTCTGTAATGTAATTGTGTACCGAATTTCGGCACTTGAGGACCAATGGCCATGCGATGGAGGCTTCGAATGACTCGAACACCCAGTAGTGGTCCATGATGAAGTCCCTGTGGAAGTCATGCATGCAGAATACAACTGTAAAAGAAGGAGGGAGACAACAGGCAGACGTGCTACGCCAAACTTCCCAATGCATTGGGTTCGAAGGTTCGGTGCCGCCTTACCGAACATAAGCTATCAAAAACGTCATCTGATATCCCCTTTGTCCGTTCTTCGCGCCTGCTGGGAGGCCGCCGAATCTCTTTGCTGCCTTATAAAGATTCCGCTGCTGTAAAGCCACTTCCTCCGATGATCCTTCAAATAGAAGGGTGCATGCACACAGATCGTCCTCATGCCAACCCTTGATCCTATTCAAATAGAAGTGTTTAATGCCATCTTCTAGTGCATCTCTGAGCCCCAGACCTCCTGCGGATAGCAGCAACGAAGGGCAAAATCCGGGGGTAGAAAGCATTGCCACTGCTCAACTCGTGCAGTCACAAGTACAGGGTAACAACAATGCAAACAAACAGAATGCTCCTTTGGGAAGTTGAGCGCAACGCGAGACCAGACCATGAGGCATGCCATATGGCATCTGAAAGGAGCCTACCTGGAGGGACAGCCCTAAAGAGAGCGCCGCATTGGGTCTGCCGCTTGTCCATGAGGCGGATACTCGCCGGTTGCAGCCTATTGAGAGCCACATGTCTCATAAAAGCGACGCCAACCTCGAAATTTGGGAATACCAGACAGCCGTAGATCTTTTCCTGGAGGACAAATGCACTCCAATCGCAATATCTCTGTCACACCCGGATTGAAAATAGAACGAAAAACATGACAGTTCTAGTCAAGAAATGTTTTAATACTTGTCTGACACAGGAAACGCACCTCGGGAAGCAGCTTAACCTTCAGGACCACTTTCGTAATGATTCCCAATGTGCCTTCGCTCCCCAATACCAACTGCTGGACAGATGGACCACTGGAGACACGGGGAGCAGCAAGGCGCTGGTTAAGTGTGCCCTGTGGTGTTACCATTACCGCGTCAATAAGTAGGTCTTCTATGTTCCCGTAGGCATTCTTTTTCATCCCTAACCTCAGTGCGCAAAAAGTGGCTCAAATATGAGAGAAATCATGAAAAATCTTGGACTGCGCCGAACGTCTGGTGTTCCCCACCAATAAAATGCTGGAATCTACATTTACTAACAGATATCGAGCAGTTCAAACACGCTTCACGACGATTAAGTACGCCTGTTTGAATGCCTGCCAAACCGTACCTGATGCGCGGGTAGCTACCCATCCACCCACGGTGCTGAATTCCAGGCTATCTGGCTCGTGGCCTAGGGTGACCCCGAGGCGACGAAGTTGTTCTTCGAGGACCGCTCCAACGGCCCCTGCTTCTACAGTTAGGAGGAGAGCATCCCTGTCGAGAGAAATTATTTTCTGCATGTAACTCAGAGAAACCGTGGCCACCATCCGCTGCTCTTCCTCAGGAACTGCTAGCCCCAACGTCACGGAAGTCCCACCGCCAAACGGAATTAGACAGACTCCATGTTGAACTGCGCATGAGACAATCGCCTCTACGTCCTGAACGCATATGCCAACTATCTTCTGGTACCTTCCACACAAATGGTGGACTTTCGGCACACAAACTGAGCGGCGATTTAGGGGGATGAACTTTACAAACCAGTTGAAGGAGAGAAGAGAACACGCTACAGCTGAAACACCCACTTCGTGGCACTTGGGGAATAATACTACATCTGGCAGGCGCTCGAGCTGCCCGTGTCTGAGTGCGAAAATCTCGGCGCACGTATGGCCATGCCCGTGGTACAGTCTTTCTAATCCATCCTCCGACACCTCCACCCCGGGAGCCTGTAGGACAGCGGGGTGTTGCTACGAACGCACCTAGTGAGGCAGTTTATGATCTCGCTATATTCCACATCTGTTGCGCTAGCCAACGCCCTTTACTAAAAAATGTCTTCCCATTAAAACATAACCAGCTCAGGAAGGGTTTCTCTCGGTGCCAGTGTGCACTTGTATGTTCGACTTCCAAGGTAATACGCGCTACATTAACAGGGTTTATACGGTTTGTTGTATTCAACACACATGAAAACAGCAATAAGCTCTCTAGGTCTAAGGTGGAATTAAGCAAGAGAAACCTCTACGACCCACCCTAGAAAGGAGATCGTGGAGGAATTCCTTCTTAATAAGACGCTGGGGGCTGATGATAATTTCCTCTTTCGGTAGAGATTTCGCCTCAAGATCCAGTCCCTCGATGGAATTTGTGAATCTCTGCCAGTGCTGCAGCCGCTTGCCGCATAATGGATACCTACAAAGGGCACAAACATCCACGCGCTGATGGACGGAGAATATGAAAAGGTAAACAGCGCAAATGCACAGCCTCTTCACACAGTAACGTGCAGTGTGTAGTTTTGCCTCGCTGCACGCTGCGAAGGCTAAATCCTGCAGCTGAAAACAAAATTTCATCAACTAATGCTCCCGATTTGTAAGTACACTTATACATTTCCAAAAGACTAGGGCAGCTGCACGACAGACTTCACACGATATCTGGGAGCGGCATGCAATGCTTTCTATTATTCTGCGTTTCCGCACCTGTTGCCTGTCACCGTCAGCGTTGTCTTGTCAATGAAGTAGATATATGTATCTTTAAACCCCCATCCGTTGGCCTTGCAAACAGCTGCGCGGTTTCGGCCGTGGTGTATCTCTTGGGCAGGCAGACGAAGAGCAGAGAAGGATTCAGGTGGAAAGCGTAGGGGGAGTCGGAGGCTGCTGGGGGACTGGAGAGCAACAGCTTCCTGCCCTCCCACCGTCTGCTCATGCCCTCGTCGTCGTACGGTTGACGAGCTCAGCCTGGAGTCGTTCTTGCCAGAAGACATTTCGAAATTAAATTCAGGCGGATGCCTCTGCAGGATAGAAAGAAAATGCGCAAGTATCCTTATGAAAAGGCGACAATCAGTACAAACAGCAGCTGCTACCTCAAAACAAGCAGAGCACCTTAACGAGGGGTTCTGCTGCACGTGATGTATCGATGAAGGGTCACCGAGGAATTGCCGGGGTAAGTGCACCTTCTGGTGGCTACAGGAAGACAAACTGAGGGCCTTTTGTGATAGTGCTTACGAACAAATTGCTATACCATGGGCGCTAGTGGAGGTTGGATTGCCCGGTTGAGGCCGCACAAATCCCTCTGTAATGGTTGAGGAACCGTGTGGAAGCGCTTGTGGGAGAGCAAAAGAGGCAACCAAACAGAATACGCGCAGATACGAAGGTGACCGTCCAGCCAGCTGTGAGCCGTGGAAGTGCGTGCTAAACTGGACGGTAGATATAGCACAAAAAACGAGCTCCGCTAGGTGCTACTGATTCCGGACTTCCTTTCATTCATGTGATTCATTCACATCTACCGTCGGATCTGCATAACCGTAGAAATGGAAAAAATACTGCGTAACAGTGGCACAGCTTAGTGATTACGGAATGCCGTTTTGCAAGACAGGCGATGACCCCTACGATCCCTGCCACATGGATGTGGCAGGAGGGGCCCGATCTTTTTATGTGTAATTGAAATTATCAAAATAAAGAGTTGTATATTTTTTGACGTAGGTTATTCCCCACGTTCGCCCACCCGGCTCGCTGTCTCCAAGATGCCGGGGATGTCTATGGGTAGCCTCGAAACAAAGTCCTCACGCCAAGCCAACACGAAGTGGCGAAAATGCCTGCCTTCCGAACATCTGTGTTTTCCTTTATTACTAATGAATCTTATATTTTTGAATGATCATGTCTCCAGTTGGAGGAGCAATGGGTTCTCCCCAATGGGTGATACACTCAAGCGTTCACAGCTGGCGCATTTTGATGGTGCGACTGCGTCATTTGAATGGCAGAACCGCTTCTCTGCAACTAGATGTAGGATTCACTTCCACTCATAGATAATCATATGGATTATCTATGAGATGTAACGTGCGAGCCCGGGGTGTTCTTCTCGTTAATCCCATGGTTTAGCAACATGTACCCTATGGCAGCATGTTAGCACATGGACACTCTTCCTCCACCTCAGAATGCAACTTGCATACACGTCGGAAGGCTACAGCCTAGCATGACTCATCAACTACCCCATACAGTTCGGGTAAATGCACCAGATGTCGGGTTGTGCTTGCGTGTGGGACTGACTTGCTGCATAGGCCTCACCAAGGAGCATCGCTCCTCTGGGCCACCTCCCCCTTCAGAGCTCTTGCCTGGGAATGTTCTGATGGGAGGCCAGTAGCTTTTACGGCAATTGTACCTTCAATAGATTGCAACTCTCAACAGTCGTTGCACTTGCTAACACCGCATGGTTCACGCGGTGGAGGAAAGAGCAACACATCTGCCCGCGATAGCAAGACATCGTGCTCCGGATCAGTTCTTATACATATGTACCGAATATGTTTCTAAAAATATTCCAGGCATATAAATGCAAAGCCGTCTGTAGGCTCTTCCGATGGATCGATCAAACATCACCCCTGCAGTTGTCCTTCGCAATGCAGATTGCATTGCGAAGGACAACTGCAGGGGTGATAGTAGTAGTAGTAATATAATCCTCCTTTTAGTTGGGGAGAGGAGTGAGTGGAGTTGAAACAAGGGGTTTGTGTTTGTCATCTTACAACAAACCTTGTTGAATCAGTACAACGCGCTAATTTCGGACATACGAAGGCTGAAGTGAAGCGGGGATAGTGAGCAGCTTCAGGGCGGCGGGAAAACCCAATTCGTTCTGCAGGATCCGGCCGAAGTTGGCAAGCCGTGAAAACACAGTAGGCAACAGCACGCAGGCAGCAGCCTGCAACAATTCTCTAGTAATTTCTTGCTGCAAACAACAGCAAGCTACTTCTAACTAGTGGAAGGCACCCACGGCTCCCGTAGGAGGGGAAGCATTTGCTTGATCCTTTTGAAGCTTTTTCATGTAATATGCCGCAAGGCATATTACATGTAAAAGCTTCAAAAGGATCGTAATATGCTTGGCAAGGTTTGCCAACTTCAGCCGGATCCTGCAGAAAAAATTGGGTTTTCCTGCCTCCCTTAAGCTGCGTATTCTAGGAATACGGAGTACCGTTAGAAATCTGGGCTGGGGGTCTGGAATTATATGCCTCGAAACTACCTACGCCCTGAATATACAATTTTCATGCTTTAGATGTGCTACTGTCTGTGCATTAGACCAATATGCATATAGGTGTGTGCACGAGAATGACTTACTCGTGCCGTTACTGAAAACCCCATATATGATAGCTGTGTCAGTGCTAATGCTGAATTACCCACGCTGTACGTTCATTTATGACAATGTCAAGGCTGAAGCAATCAATTTGCGAACCGTTACATGGCCGCGACGTCTACAGTGATGCTGGGTTGTTTAGATTCGCAGCTATTAATTGAGTAATGGCGACGCTATTTAAGACGCGTCGCAGTAACGGCAGAAAAATAGTTTGTTGCTACGTCATAGTTCCCATCGAAGGAAAGGGAGATACCCGAAGGTCATTGTGCACCTATTGATGCTCTTTATTGGTGAGGGATTGCACTGCAATGACGTGACACGCTTTAGCGCCCGCATCAGGCCGTCAACGGATCAAATGAGAACAGATGCGGACAAAGCCAATGCCGCAAGGGCGATGAGGGCAGTGGGTCCGACTGCTTTAACACCACCCGTCAATGCTGCTGTAATTTTGTTCCAGACGTCCTCGCTGAACAGCATCAGAGCGCAAAAACAATAGGAGAGTTGGGCGACTTCAGCGGGATACTGACCTGGGTGAATGCTGTGCACAACTGGTTGGAGAAGCTCTCACCTGAATGGGGCTTGCTCATTTACCAATGCCTCTGGGGAAGTGATGCAAATCACGGAATTCAGAGTCTCCGCAGCGAGTCTCCTTCTACCTCCGAGATCGGGCTCAGGGGCCGTTTTTGGGCACTTGGCAAAGGTGCAGTGCACGCTTGCGTCGGGTTTGGGATTAAAAAGGGCAACAAAAGAGACTGCCCTTTGGTTAGAATACGTGTTGGGGCTGGATGCAATGTACTTTTCAGGCAGTTTGTCGTTAAACAGGCTGAACCCCCCTTCCCAAAATTCAACTGCAGCGGTACAGTTGCCTGCGTCCTCCGATGTTGGGTAGAAGGCGTATGTACCCTGCGGGGCAGAGCCAACAGCTTCAGTTGCAGGGTCCTGATGAAAGAAAACACCACAACAGTATTCATGCATAAATGCACTGCAATCATGTGCAGATTGCGCTGTGCGGCAGTCCTTAGGCAGCCATGAGGGTGACTTATAGTGAGTGGCAACAAGCCCTACCCCTCTAACTTTAGCACAAAGTTTCTCCCAGAAATCATCAGGGGTTTTGGGTGCCTCGGAAGGCAGCAACTGGGTGTTCTCAACAAACTTGGGCAGACCGGCGGCTTCCCTGACCTTGTTCATCTGTTCCAGGCATGAGAGAGGGCCTTCGCAGGAAAATCACAGCGTAACATAAGGACACCATCTACTACGAGAAGGAATAGTGAAATGAAATCTGAGACAGATGTAGAAAACAGTGGTTGGTAGTGAACTTGAAGGACTGGGGCCGTCAGCAGAATCGCAGGTCACTTACTGGAGATTGTGTCGCCCATCACCTGCCCCAGAAGCAGAGACAGACCACCGACTGATATCAAGGCGAGAGGAGCCATTCTCAATAAATAGAAAAAGTGAAATCAGGCAGAAAAAACAACAAATAATTATGTGGACGACTGGAGAGAGTCGTTACCCTGGTCGGCAGCAGCATCGACTAGCGCTCGTGCAAGCTGCCAGCCGTGTTCTGCAGTGGACCGCAGTCAGCCAGCCCATCCGCTGACTGTCCCACTCAAGGTGGTTAGTGACTATGTACAGCTATTTTGTTGTGTTTTATTGGGAAAAGTAGCCATGAGGTGAGATACGTAAACTGGGTCCGTGTGTTGCTTTTTTCACAGTTTCACTGTAGCTTGTGCCATAACTCGACATCCTCCCTTCGTGTGGCGACCCGACGAAGCTCTTGAGGGTGTTGCCCATAGTTTTAACCCACATAAGGCTAGTATTTTGATATTTTACCCACTTGAAGGTAGTTCTGGTGGGCGTGAATGAACACCGTTCATTTCTAGCGTAGTGCCCGCCCCGTTCCGTTTCCGTTCGAGTGGAAGCCACATTAATGCTGTAGGCTTCAATCAAGAGACCCAAAACAAGATTTCACTATTTCTACGAAATAAAAATTGTTTACGTCAGTCATAAGAAGGTCTGCACAAATACTTCATCATACCTACCCTGGTCGTGCCGTGTTCTGTGCGACCCACCGGTGAAGTTCAGAGATGAAACGTTTCGGAAACGCCCGATACCAACACCCTGATAATCCGGTTCAGAATACAGGAAAAGCATCGTTTTAGCTCAAGTGTGGGTGATTTGGTCGAACGTTGTCTACAGTGAATTCAGACTGTACTGCGTCAGAAGTACTGCAGACTACCTAGAGCAGGCATACAGCAACACCACTTACAATCCACCGAAGCAGACGATAATTTGAGCCATGCTGTGCACTTAAACTCTCTGAATATCCATGGGACCTAGCCAGTGGGTTAATGCGACATTGAAAACTCCCCAACGTTGTGGAAGCGCCGAACTTGCAGGCATTTGCACGATAAGTGGGCATTTAGAGGAAGCTAGCGGGCTCTCGAAACCAACTCTGACACGCAGGAGTGGATGCTGGTTGAACGGGTCCCTTCTGTGCAGCTTATGGTACTGCTCCAGCCAGTCATGCACACAGGGCTAGTGCACAACTCTTGGGAACCCACCTAAACAATGCATGTGACGGACAAATATTTGCTTTAGATTCTCAGTACAGTACAATCTATTACGTCATACTCATGTATAGTATGTGCGCGTTCAATCAGAACGTGCAGGATCAGCTAGAGCACCTGCGACACTTTACAAATGTTATGCGGGACTCGGTGGTTCACCAAAACACAGAAGTGTCTGTTTTTGTGCAACCAGTTGGTTCTCCAGGAAATAGTTTCCTGACTCTGAATCGGTCGTCGAACCAGAACCGGCGAAGAGGCAAAGCATTATGAGGGGACACCACAGGCATTCAGCTGTTCCTCGATCTCGCACGGTACTACCGCACCTTCACTTCTGACTTCGCCTCCATCTTCGACCACTCTACTGGATTTACTTAGCAATTAAAGACTACTCATTTGGACGGCAAGTAAGACAGCAACGCACCTGACGCCGTCGCCAGTAATCGCGCTCCCTGATTTCGACAAGCCGTTCTTCTTAACAACGGGTGCTATTGATACATCGGTTGGTGTTGTGCTCTATCAGCAAGCCAACAAGCCAAACAACACCAGCCCGATACTCGCACCGCTTTACGCGAGCAACGGTACCCAGTTTCGGAGAAGGAGCTCTACGTGGTCCGATGATGAGGCAAAAGCATCTGCATTGCTTAGATGCCAGGCACTTCACAAGTCAAACCGATTATCAACCCCTGGTGCCCCTGACGAAATGTGTTCAAGACTACGAAAATGACAGAGTTATTTGTTGGCGTTGCAGGTTCACGCTGTACGACTTCTCAGTAAGCGGTTCGCCAGTGATCGTTGCCCCGAAGAACACAGTGGCTGATCAGTTGGGCTTCTTCATAAGTCCACATTGTGCTCTGCAATTGTGCTTGTGTGTGTGGTCCCCGACTCTTTTCCTAATCGTGGTTATTCTACATCTTAGATATTCATGCGGCTGCAGTCAGCGCACAGCACAACGATGGGCGATGGAAGAAACGCTACAGCACCGACGGGGAACTTGGGGTACAAGAAGAAGTCTAAACCTTGCCGACTGTACGTTCCATTTGGAATTCGTACTAGAGTTACCCCAAGTGCACGATCATGCTTTGGCTGGCCATGGGGTCAACAACGGAACGCTTGCCCAGGTCCTCTTGTTGGGCTAGATTGCTTCCCTACGTGGGCAAATACGTCCTCCCGTGCAATGAATGCCTGCAGCAAGTGTGTTGGAATACTCTAAAACCCGGATTCTTGCAGAACCTTCCGGCTGCCGAACGGACCTCGACAGATATATCAACAAATTTCATACTGCATTATTCGGAAGCTACGATAGCATCTACGTTGGAGCGGATAAAACTACGAGAGTAAGGACACTTTATTCTGTGAGCATCTTCGTTTTCAACATCAGATGGAATGGTCCATATATTCATTAACCGTATCTGGAGGCTTTCACAACTTCCGAAAAATGTCATCACTGTCAGTGTCCAAAGTTCTTTAGCGCCTTCTGAATGGAACTAATGAAGCAGGCTTGCATCAGCTCTACCTTGACTATCTCAAACCAATGCTGGCTGAAAAATCGCTGGCCTGACTTCGGCTGGAAAGTCGCTGGCCTGACGCTCGAGGCGGTGTTGCTCCACGTACGAAATAGGCAGAGCAGTGTCAGCCACAGGCCTATCCGAATGGGCAACAAAGAAGAACTATACCTCAATAGAGCCACAATCTGGGAAGAGAGGGGCACTCGATGGCTTGAGCAGCTTGCGTGAATGGGGAAGGCTCAAACTGTACGCTAGCTTCAGCTCTCAACACTATTCAACAGCGTCAACTAAAGCGTCCATCAATGTACAGCCAAGTAGAGCCTTTTCGTACTTGCATGCGGGGCTGTACCGCACAATGAGATGCACCAATGCTCAAGGCAACTCATGGCATTCCGCAGCTACACGCCGCTGAACCCTTGAGCTCATGACGCGTCAGACTTGGGAGTGGAGGTTGGCTTTCTTAAAGAACTCTAATGGCGTTCAGGCTCCACAGCCACAATAGTTTAGTCGCAAATATTCATGGGCCCGCTCTACATTCCCTCCCTCAAGCCTCAGTCCCAGGCGTCTGGGTCAAGGCAATAGGGACGCCTTGTGACTGCGGAAGGAGATCACCCTCTCCTAGGGAACCGTCTTCGTATTTCGATTCCGTTGCAGCTGGCCATGGCCGCTCAGGAAGATTTTGAGGGCTTGCATCACAATGCTACAATAGGGGCTCCTTAGGCTCGTGCCGGGGAGATCGTGCAAGCTTCCAACAACAAGAAAAAGTACGCGCTGAAGACGATAAAATAAATAGGGAAATTCACGCCAAATAGTTTTCCCACGTGCCTAGCTGCGTAGCCTCTTGCAATGCTAGCTCCAGTGCAAAGTCAACACATATCTGCAGATGTTTGCAAGTGCCAATAAAATGAGCTTATCGTGTGCCACTTCAGTACTTACTTGTTTTACTAGAAGGTTCTCTCATATTGCAACGCCATAACACTTGTTGAAAAAGCTCAATGTGTTTAACGGGTTGTACGAATTGCGCATGCACACATGGGACTGGCGCGGCAGCCTGCCCCGCCAGCCCCCTCCCCAACGTGGGCCGTTGCGCATGTGATAGAGTTGAGCAAATGTTATCTAGATGGCCAGAAAATAGGGTTTTGGTTCGGTTCCTCGAGCATTTTATCAGCTTTTGAGAGGATTTAACGAAGATGCAGATTTTTGTGAAGACGCTGACGGGGAAGACTATTACCCTTGATGTGGAGCCTTCCGACACTATCGAAAATGTGAAGGCGAAGATTCAGGACAAAGAGGGTATTCCTCCAGACCAGCAGCGCCTTATCTTCGCTGGAAAGCAGCTTGATGACGGCAGAACTCTCTCCGACTACAATATTCAGAAGGAAAGCACTCTTCACTTGGTAAGCTTACCCCCACGGGCTGCTGCACCGCGGGAGTTTTCCTGGGCTGTCAACTTGGTGCGGTTGTTTTGGCTGCTAGCTTTTCCTAGTATGTTTTTATTATGGCTTTTGTGGAGTTCTTCACCCCTAACCCGTAGTGGCCACGAAATGGCTGAGGTCGCCGCAGCAATTGAGCGGGGCATCAATGGGCGGATCTTCTCCCTGCATCAAGAGACTATGTACAGATGCATTTACATGCAAGTCAAAGCTTGGTAGTCACTCCATCTGACTGCTCGAATGCAAGAATGCACCATTTCTTGTTCGTAGCGACCTCGGGGTGGCAGGTGTAGGGATGCAGAAGGGCATTGGTTGAGAGCTCTTCATTCGAAAAGCGCAGGGCAATAACGCTCTGGTCGCCGTATTAACAAACATCGAAATTCACGATGCTATGCTCAGTTGAACTGGATTGCTTTTATCCATGCTGACGCTATTTTTTTCACTGTGCCCTGAGATTACCGTGGATTTGGCCCGTGGGATGTGGTGTGTTATCGTATTCATCTTTGTCTTCGGCTGCTTGTTTTCGTTCCCTTTTCCTTCCACCAGGTGCTTCGTCTGCGCGGTGGAATCATCGAGCCTTCCCTGGCTTTGTTGGCGTCCAAGTATAACTGCGAGAAAAAGATATGCCGGAAGTGCTATGCGCGTCTCCCGCCCCGAGCCACCAACTGCCGCAAGAAAAAGTGCGGCCACACCAGTCAGCTGAGACCCAAGAAGAAGCCTAAGAGTTAAAAAGCTACAACCTTGGGCCTGGCAGCCGAACCACGTACGTGCGATACCTTTCGGAGTGCACGAGCCCCCTTTTGAGGTTGTGCGAGGGCAACAGTTGTTTGATCCCTTCCGTAACCGTCGCTGCGTTGCGGTGGCAGCGGGTATTCACGGACATCTGGCTGCAGCGGTTGGATGCTGGGGAAGCATGGTGGTTCAGTAGTGAACCACGCGCTAACCAGTAGCCGCCAAGCTCAGAGACTAAAACAGTATTTAGTGTACGTTCAAGGGTGCCAGGACATTGCCAAAGGCTGCCTGCATACCCTCACCGTTGCTTGTTAGTAAGCAGTATTTAGTGTATATTCAAGGGTTCCAGGGTATCGTCACAGGTAGCCTGCACATCTCCCACCGGAGTTGAGTTTTCGCTAGTAGATGCATATCATGTGTCCCACAGAGGTTTAAGCCAGTGCAAACCACCGACGACGACTGCCTCTGGAGTGGGATGGTGGACGTTCACGTAGCTTGAGCCTTCCAGTATTCACAAGCGCATCATGCAAGCTCGTTGGACAGTTTGCGAAAGGTTTGCTGGAGCGAATCCATGAATGGCAGGGAGAATGCCTGTGTGAATTAAAGGACACCGGATCAGTTCGTCGCCGATTGCCTGGTTCTGCTTGCGGCTGCGACCTTCGTCGCACTGCCGCATACACTTCTTGCGACGCTGATACGGGTCGACAAGAGTTATTAGTTCTCATGCTATCTATCCAGGGCTCAATTAGCACTGCGCTCCGCGGACGCGAAGCTTCCTCTTGAAGCAGTGTACTACTCCGTCCTTGTCGTCCCCAAGCCAACACAATACAAATAAGAACAAGATACGCCTCACACTATGGTGGATGCAAACTGTGGGGACGAATGGAAGCAGCCACGTAAGTAATGTCCAGCTGCACGCTTAGGCGTAATATGCTGTTCTCCTGCGGGGGAAGAGCTGCGAACAGAGTATCGTCAGAAGCAGGTTCGACTGATGGCAGCTTTGCTGTTGACAAAAAACAGCGGCGACAAAGCACAGCTATGCATCATATGCCCAAGGGTACCTGAAAGCAGACAGAATTGGAAGTATCATTAGAGCAACGAAAAACTCGCAGGCTGTTTATGACCGTTGACACAAGTTCCGTCAAACGCGGCAAACAAGACGATACAAGGCCTATTTTACTAGCTCAGCTGCCACACTTGCCTCTCTAGAAACCAAGAAGTTGCTTCTTTTACCGCGTAGTTGGGGACCAGCCGTTTTGCATCACATGGCTCTCTGCAAACAACCCAATGTGCCACGAAAGTCACTTGCTGCATTGCTTGTAAAGCCATCCGTATATTTGTGACCTGTTGAGCCAGTTCCTTAACTCAGTAAAGAGAAGACGTTCTGCCCCTGGGGCCAAAGGCTGAAAACTGGAAATATTTGCTCGCCTGGTCAGCGGATCCGTAGGCCCGTTGCGGTTCAAGTGCTCAAGAAGAAGCCTATGCTCATATGTGATGCCACTGGGAGTGACAACTGGCTCATCCATCAACCCCTGCAGGGTACCCAACAGCACATACCACTCACTGCAACCGAGCGTTCGCCACAGCCAGCTGCCAAAAAGTTGTGGGGAAATCTATTATTGATGGGCGTAAATTGCATTCGTCTCTAGAAGAGGGCGTGAGCAGCACCATGGATATTTTGCATGTAAGGAAGTCGGGTACTTCAAAGGGGGCATCCGCCTCAGCGGCCTCAGCAACAAGAAGTTCTAGCTGCGCCAGTCGACCGTCAACTTCTTCTCGGGGTAGCCTTCTCTGTTGGGCAGCAACCTCAATGCATTCCTGCAGAAAATTGGAAGTACACTCCATAATCGTTGTAAAGAGCAACAAGCTGCAATATGCCTGCCATGTACACGCCTGCGCCGACTGTCGTGAGGGTGGCTATATACAGCATCCCTCACAGCTCAATCAAATAGCCAACATACCCTCAAGAACGCCTCAAGGTCCTTCCTATCCACCAATCTTTGCCTCCGCCAACGAGCACTCCTCAGTTTCTTCGCTGAAACGCCGCAAGCACCAAATAAAGAAGGCTCGCAACCCTGAAAGCAACTTGTTGGAGCCCAATGCTTTCCGAACCCTCCAATAATGCTGTCTACTGAATATCTCGTTAGCTACGTCAGGCGTTCACACTCCTCTATATTACAGTTCGCTTGCCGTTTAAAAGAGAGTGGCGAATCTCATTGGCTGCTCTCCCAGCCTCAGATGAAGAAGCCTTCTGCGCCTTCTCCAGCAGAGTAACTCCGGCGTCATAGTCCCCTGCAGCAGCAAACAGCACGAGTAGTTGCGGTGTTCCTGCAGTGCTAACCTGCTGCACCCCGAAACAATACGCATCCACCTAGTGCTGGTAAATAGCAGCTGCGCTTGCTCGTTTTCCTGGAGCGACAAACAAGCAATAGGGGCACGGAGAGCATTACCCAGTTGCACAAGCGCATCGCCCTTGATGTACAGGCCCTTAACGTTGGTTTCATCAAGGGCCAGAGCTGCCTCAGCGTCTTCGAGGGCTTCTGGGTATCGCTTTTCGCGTTTATGACAGAGGGCTCTGTTTGTGAAGTACGATGCAACTGTGGCATCCACCTCAATGGCCTTTGAATAGTACTCTGCTGCCAAGCCGTACATGCCTCGCCTAAAACTTTCATTTCCCAAGTCCTTCAGTCTGTCTGCTGCTTGCCGATCCCGCACCTGAGAGTTCCCCCTTGGATTCTGAGAATCCGGGTTACTGACACCCTTTGACGAGCTGCTGCTGTTGCCACTTCTCTTCCCACCAGTAAAATTATTGCTGCTTCCATTTTTGTTGGGTTGCCCCGGCTGGTCGAAACTAGTATTTTGTGCTTGGTCCCTGTTTGCTGGTTCACATCTTGTACCTTGCACTGCATTTGGATTGCCGGAACGTGCAGACGTTGCGCCTGACGTCTCGGTAGGGCGAGACGATCTGTGAACATTTCCTCCACTGCGGCTAGCAATCCCTCCTGTAGTACCAGTACTACTGTTTGTTCTGGTGGCTCCGATGTTGTTTGTACTGCCGTCTGCAGTGCTCGTCCTGCCACTCCTGCTGCTCCCAACTGCCGCCTCCAGGACGGAATTTAGTGCCGCTTGGAAGAAGGATTCCATGGGGGTCCCTGAGCCGAAACTGTCCCTAATGCCACTGAATTTTCAACAAATGGAGCTACCAACCGATGACTTTCTGGAGACAACCGCGTATGCGTTGCTTTCCACCTGGGCGTTTAAAGCAACGGTCGGGAAAATGACGAGAAGGGTGAATCTACAGGAAGGAAGGGAAACAGGAAGAAACCATGCTTTTCATACACACTGGGATGGAGACATCTGCCGCAGGAAGGAGGCAGAAAATGTGTCCTGGTAGCGGCCGTTCCTGAAACCAACAGTGCTTAAGTCTGTCCTCGCAGTGAGTGGCATCCGAGCTGTCCCCATCATCTTATGCCAGCTTCTTTAGTGTCTCATTCAGGGATACACAGCAGATTATATGAACATGGAGCTTATACACTCGTGTTAGCAAATAACTGAAGTGCAATGATCCACCCTAACGTCCAATCGCCGAGCATGCGAGAGCCCCGGCGTCACAGGCTTCGCCGGGTATTGCCCCGGATGAACTGATCCATGAAAGTATCAGTAATCCCCATTATACAGATTGTCTTGGCAAAAGCATATGCGCAGTTCGAAGCGGGTCCACGGTTTAGATGAAAGAGCCCTTTCTCGTTCTGCACAGGGCTGCCGTACCCTGCACCGGAGTATTACCCCGATCGCAGTACATAATCGCTGCACTGCTCCCCTTTATAAGAACGAAATTTTAGAGGAAAGCTGCATTTTAGCGTTTATTAAAATAATTCATGCTACCTGCCAGGTACTAAAGAAACGACCGAGCAACCACGAGCATGCATTAGAAGCTCATCTCTGGAACCCCACTTTATTTACAAGTCTGGTGACATACTGGCGTGGATCTCAATTTGGAAAGGCCATTCACTTCTAGTTGGGGAAGATGCTAGCGCTGTAATCGGCTCCGCTCAGTTTGTGCACTGTCCCGCGTGCCGTTAGATTTAGTTCATTATGGAGGCAAACACTAATTACAACTTATTGTAGACGAGTTCTTTCATATCCTTAAATGCCTTTTGCCGCTCGGGCTGCCCTGAATGCAGTGGAGCAGCGGCCACAACTATCCGCAAAGATGGTGTAGCAGCACCAAATCAGCAACAGGATGACAGCTCCAAAAATTGTCCACCAAATGACAAGGGACCCGGAAGAAAGAGTGAAGTGCAGCTTCGCAACCCCACGTGTCTTGCGGACAGTGCAGGGGGGGCTTTGAAGGACTTCGCTGTTCCCCCACTTCACAGTCGTCATGCCAGCTCCAAAAGCTGTTTCATAGTCCGAATCACACGTGCACGTTACGGTTCCGCTGCCCTTCCCTGGTGAAAATGTGCATGTTCCCTCACCACATGGATTGGCTGCCGGATTTGTGCACGGGTTGTTGTGCGTTTCACAGTTATTTCCGGTGAAGAAATCGCCACAGTCACACTTGTAAAATGGCTCCGTGTTTGTGTCCAGACAGGTTCCCAGAGAGCAGAGAGCGCTGCTGCAGTCAATCCCTGAGCTGGGTTTGATGCCGCATCCGTCACTGCAGACAGATATGGTGTCTTCACACAAGGCACCCGAATAAGGCTTGTCACAAACACATATTTGTAGTCCGCCATTCTCGTAGCAGGTGCCGTTTACACATAAGTTGACAGTGCAGAGCGCGGCAGCTGCAAGTAATATCCCCGACCCTGAGGTTAATGTTCCATCCTCCAATACGAAGGCCGTTTCTTTTATCCGGTTGTGCGCACCATGCTGCTGAGGAGACGGGAGGAGGCAGATCAGGACGAAAAGGAGCAGGAGAGAGACTCGAGGGACGTGACGGCAGGCACGAAACATGAGGTCTAAGTGATACACGACACACCCGCAAGGCAAAAGCGCACTGAGCTCCCTCGTACAAAGCACTGTCGTGGGGCGTTATATTTATTTGGTTGGGAATCTACTGCTTCTAGCACAAGAGGGGAAGAGTCTACCTCACTTGTATAGCGTGTACAAAATGGAGCTTCCATGTTGAACAGAAAACACCCCCCTTTAGTGTCATCGAGGGGCCTGCGAGTCTCGTGGGAATTGAGGCCCTCCACCATTTCTACGTCGGCGTTGGGGTTGCGACTTGCAGGCTGAATTCGACAACTTGAGGGTCAACCATCCGTGGAACGACAGAATTCCCAATAAGGAGAAAACAGCAATTTGGTTGCACGAAAAATGGCGGAGGCTGAAGCTGATTTTGGAGGCCAGCAAGAGGCACAACGGAGAAGATGGGATCGCGGAAAGAAGGGGCTCAGATGCTGCATCCCTCGGACACGTCGGATCTCCATCCACGTATTGGGCCTCTAAATAGGCGAAGTGAGTTGCATTTTCGTGGGTAACAATGGTCAGTTTTAAGCCGCTGATGCATGACGGTGTCCCACGCACACCTGAGGATCCATCGCGGGAACACACGACTGTGTCTACGGCTTTTGTGGTGACGCTTGCCCCCCAAAGCGGAGGAATTCGTAGTATTAGAAAGAAATGAGCCTTTTTCTGTATTCTGTTTTGGTGCGGAACTCATCAGGGCTCCAGGCGACACCGCTGGGTGTGTAGATCCCTCTACGACACACGACAGCCATTAAACGACGAGTTTGTACTACAAACGGAGGCGTTCCGATCGTGACGGCGCTCCGTCACACTTAGTACACCCTTATGCCTTGAACAATGTTAACTTGGAAAGAAGGCAAAATGCTTTCATTTCCACTCAAGACTTCTCTAATGGGCCGCTGCCAAGTTTAAAAGCGTGTGGCAACCGAAGCGAACGCCGGCTGCTGCGAGGAGTTACAGGTGCACTTGTGTGGTTCAGCACTCCTTTTCCTTTGTTTTCCTATATTTCATTGTGATTTCACCGAAGGTATTATGTAACTATGTTTTGCATCTTATGTTATTGCCACACCAACCGGCCGCTGTTTCTAAGCCTACGGGATCGAAGCTAGCCATCAGCTAAGAGGGAAAAAAGGGGGAAGCAAGGACAAAAATAAGCTAGTGCTAAACAAGAGGATTCGTCCAGCTAAAAGGAGTTGCGGGTGGACAAGACAGAGTCCCGGGGGACGCTACGTGTGCTCGGCCTAAGATTAGTGGCAGTTGAGCGCAGGGAGTTGCGTTGCAACACCTTGAATTCCCCAGCAGCCGAATGGTTCCCCAAATATAGGCGTATTGACAGGAGTCACACACCCTTCACCTTATTCCCAAACTTGTGGTGTAAATTCGCAACGGGGTCACAAGCAACTAAGCGAACTTTCGCACACGCTTGGGAGCCAGTAACAGCGAAAAATGGCCTGGATACTGCGTGCAGAATTCGAATATCTGTTATGCCTCACCTCTGAGAGGCTGGATGTGGCAAAATCGCGAGCATTGCTGCATGCAGCACTTGACGCTCGGCTTCTGCTTACAGACGATCCCTTGTACAACGCGTACATTGACGCAGGCAAGGCTGCACTAAAGAACTACCTAGGAGAGGGAAAGGACAGACAAGGACTCGGATGGCAGAGCCGCACTTTTCAGGCCGCGATGATGGCCTGCATATGCGACGATGTCAATTTAGCCCATGTGTTCAATGTATTGAGGGTGGAGGAGCTGCTCGAGAACCTAGGGGACGAACTGTCGCCGAGTCAGTGCGCCAAAGTAATGCTCGCTATAATCGGTGAGTTCCTACCTCCCTTTGGTGGAGCATGCTGTTGCATTCTAAGCAATCAGAAATGGCAACATCGGCGGAACAGCAATATTGCGCTGGACAACAAGCCACGCCCGATGACCCTGTTGAGGGAGCAAAGCATAAATCTCCAAGCAGGATTCCACATCATGTGCGCTGTATTATGATGCGTCTGTCAGGCGAATTACACCTTGTACGACGCGATATGCAAACAGCAGCCAGCACCGACTCGCCTGAATTTCTTGAGTTTAAGGATAAAAGTAGCAAATTCCTCCGAAAGGCTCTACAACTGCTGCTGTCCCTCATTTCTGAAAGTGGCCGAGACCGATTCTGCTACGTGAAGGAAGCTTTGATTCATCCGGATGCCACCTGCCCCCGCCCAGCTCCTTTAACTAGTTGCAGTTTTAGTAAGCGTCTGCTGACCTGGTGGCATCTTGCTTACGCCTCCCAGCTGCTTTGACGGTATCAGCATTCGAACCATTGGGACATATTCTCTCCTGTGAAAAAGGGGAGTATGGAAGGGGCTGGGGAAGTGGTTTTAGTGAGCACCTTTGTCTGGCTGGTCAATCCTCCTCGTTGCTGACAAGACCCTACGTTTCCTTCAATACTTCAATTCGTTGCGCTTATGCGGCTCCATATTTGCTGCAGCATCATCAGAAGATGCAGCCCTAGTAAAGGCATGGAGAGGCCGCGAGCCGTTTCAGCTGGCTCAGGTCTTACGGGATGACTTGGACGCAAGTGCTTTGTACACCTCATCTATGTATGCCCTATATAAAAGAGGAGATGCAATGTTTGAGACTCTTCTCCACAGCGGCAGCCTCCTTTCACTGTGGCACCGATTGCACGCCATCTGCAAGCGTCATGAGGCACTCGGTCAAGAAGTAATCAAGTGGAGTATTGTCAGACAGGCTCCTAGACTCAACAGGTAAGCATTTACCGAAATCTCGTTCTCATTGACATATCCTTGGTTTCAATTTGCAATTATATCTCGGTTCACACACGCTAGTGTCCTTGCGCTTAATCCAGGAGTGAGTAGTTGAAAGTACGTACTTGAGGCGAGCCAGACCGCTCGCTCAAGTATATAATTCGTTTTGCACTAAGTGGGTTGGAGGGGACTTGGAGGTTGATCAGTGGAGATTGTTTGCATGTGCAAGGAGAGGATGCCTGTCTCTGAGAGTTAGGAGTGTGTCACCACGTTGGTGTGCTGTGTTGATCCGCAGGCTGCGGCAGTTAATTTTGACGCGTCTTATCCAGTGCCTGTACCAACCCCAGTACAAACAGCCCCTTGGTGGCCCTGCAACTAACGGGGAGAAGATGGGTAACGACGACGAAAGGGTCTTGGCAGGGCTCATTGCAGAAAGCCTCGTTCTTTCTGGTGAGTTTAAACGCACCCCATTGTGCACATATGCGGGGTGAAAGATGGCTGATCCCCTGTACTGTAAACGAAAGCGTGGCACTGGCAAAGTCACCGCTACCTGTGGCCAAAGAGCAGATGAATGTCTTGGAGCGTTTTAAGTTCATCCGTGAAGAGCATCCTTTCAACATTTCCCCTTCTTGATTGTGGCTGTACATGTGACGGATAAACTTCGGTGTATGGTCGTTAAACTTGATCATCCTGTGCTTTGGGGTGGTCTGGAAGGGAGTGGCTTGCGGACGCTTAATTTCCTTCTGTACTGTGGCGCGTTGGTACTGGCGTCTTACTTTGCATATATTCAGGTGTGAAAGTGTGGTGCTATGAGAGCAAAGCCCAAAAGCAACAGATATTACAAATGGCAAGCAAAGGCGGAGCTGCACTTTCGTCCAAGTTGGATATACTGTTGTGCATTCAAATCGACAGAGGGTGAGCTGAACAGTAAATTATGAGCAAGGGACTCAACTGGCTGTTTATGCATTGCATTTTCGACTCAGCAAATGCACTAAATGAGGCGAGCGAGAGCCGCTTCACATCACTTGCAGTCACAGGATAGGCATGCTCACTATGGTTGCTTCATGTAGGGGCGAAGTGACGGTGTTGAATAGAGCAAATCGTTGCATTGAAAAGGTCGGTATTATTCAATGATGCACACCTATTGAATAGAAGCCAGAAAGGCATGTAAACATATACACGCAATTGAAAAGGTAATTGTAGGAGAAGATCGGTGGAAGCCCAACTCCCGATATGTACACTTCTCACACCAAGCAGTCAGATATAATAGTATATTTTCTTTGCATAACACTTTGTTGTTCAGATTCGTGGAACTGCCTCTGGGGCAGGAGTTGCCCGACCTCAACGGCCTGGCCAGTTTGTTTGCTGAAGCTTCTGGAAACAAACATGTGGATCCTTACGAAAGCATGCAGTACACCGACATGAACCTATACACCCTCGTCCCCGATACGTACACTTCAGGTACATATTTTAACATTAAACCGAACCTCAGTTATACATTCAGTCGAACGATGTCTGGTTTGTTGCAACACAATCACTAGTTTTGCCTGCAGCCCTTGAAGTTTATACGGAAGAAACGTTCCTGCGTGTTTAACCTTCGCATGCATTACGCGCCTTTCTCCAGGTGTTTAGATCCCACGGGCTTTGTAGTCATGTGGGTGTCATTTCAATTTGGGGTGCATTTCTGCAGGGATCCGTGCCCCTAACTGGCCATCGACATCTTACATAATTGGTTCGCGGCTGCACCGTGCGACGCCTAACATGGGAGTGCTGGACGAGTCACGTTTTTTCACCAACCCGATGGTCACCGCCCTCTTAAACAAAAATGCCCTCGAAGAAACAATCGACGCCTTTATTTCCTCTGAACCTGGCGAAACTGTTTGATCCCATCGGCTGATATGCTAATCAAGGGTCTGTTGGAATCATGATTTCCTGTCACTGCAGTCAAACAGTGCAAAAAGCGGCACAGCCAGCTGCCCGGTTCTGTGCCAGTGTGTTTGCCGTGCAAGATATGCTTGCGTATCCAAAAAAGGTTTATTCCTCAGATTTTTAAAAGTATAAGCAGTATATATTAAATTCCGGAGGACCAGCTAGCTCCGTATTCGATTTTCCCTTCCAATCTCATCCTTCCTGATGATTCTGCAGTACATTAATTCCTATTGCAGGTTTAGAAAAAATACACCTTGTGTAAATGTAAGAATATGTCCAGATGCATTTTTCTGTTATGTCATTAAGGAATACTTCCTGGTATATGACGGAACTGGAACCCGGAATACGGCATGCACTCCCATACACTTTGCCAAATGAACTACCATATTCTACTTACGGTATTATTTCCGATATTATTTTTGCATCACAACTTGGCCTCCACTGCCTTTGCAGCTTTCGCCGAGGATGCCACAAACAGCAGGAGCGGCTTCGGGATTGTAGACTCCCTGGAGGCTGTCCCCTTACAATCACAGGTGTTCTAACGTGCCCATGTTTCCAACCACCTTTTCCTTCTTGTGCTCGACCGAGAGCCCCCTCATGTGTTTAACCTGCTCTTTTATCGTTGAGCCCATTCAGTTTCTGTGGTCATACTGCACCTCGTGTGCAGTTTTTCCTTGCTATCAAACAAGAATATCTCTATAGTATTATATTGGAAGCGGGTCATTCCGTCGTTGGGACTTATTGACACCGATGCCGCAAACATGAATTGGTGACGACTTTGCAGAATGTGCATGAAAGGCCTATATGCACGTCTAGACTCAGAAAACGGTAGATAGTTTAGGTATGTTAAGTGTGAGCTCCATTATTGGCCACTGACACACCTCAACACCCCGTTGGTCCGTGTGCAAATACCAAAGTGCGCCCATCCGGTCTTCGCTACGACTTTGGATGCATTCGAGACTCTTTGTAGCTGCCACTTCATTCTGAAACCTCTCCAAATTACTTTGGCAACGTTTTTCCGTGTTGGGCTGTTCAGCGGTGAGTGCCAGGCAGGTGTGTGTGGTGTAAGTGATTCAAGTATCCAGTGGAACCCTTGCGAAAGAAACGAAAATGGCGTTTAAGTTTGCAGCGAAATTATGTTAGCCTCATTTCAGCATTAAAGCAAGACCATATACTGCGGAACTGCTATTGCTGTTGCTGCTGGTGCACTTCCTGCGTAGTCAACGATATCCCGCTCTGTTTACCTGCACCCAACAAAGCCGACCCCGCTGGTGCCGTTATACTACCAGCGGTACCTTCCCTTCGGCTAGGCGCTGCTGCAGCGTTTGCTGCTGTTGCAGCTGCTGGGTGTGGCCACGCTCTCCATCGCTGTCCTGTCCTTCATCTTCACTTTTAATAGTAGAAAGTCTCTGCGGAGGCGCGGCAGCCCGTTCATCAGAGTACGTTGTAGTGCAATCGCATTGTGCTGCCGCAGCAAATTTCGCTGTTTGACGGTGCGCCTCGCGGTCGTCATTTATTGCGTCGTGCTCCTGCAGCTGGCGAGTGCAGCTTGTGGGGTCTGAGAGCTGGGCAGTAAATGTGGAAAACTGCAGCCGCAGAGCAGAAACCACAAAGTGAGCATTACAGAATTTATTGAAACAATCAGTGCAAGATGCTTTGATTTGGTACTGCTCCTGCTGCTGCTGCTACTGTGTTGCAGTCGTGGGATGACTTGCACTTTGCTGAATGCAGGGGGTGTCTTCTCCGTTGGGCCGGTGAAGAGGACTTTTCCCTAGTCTGTATGAAGCAGCAGCTGACCCTGCTATTCCGCTAGGGAGCTGCAGCTTGGGGAGATGGTGCGGTTGCTCCCTCTGTTGCTGTTGTAACTGCTGTTGATGCTGAGCTTCCGAGCCGCAGAGACTTTCTTTACCCGATAGAGCACTGAGTCCCTCCGTTTGATCCCTGGCCAGCTGGGCCAAAAAGCCCTCTAGCTGTCGGTGGTGCTCAAGCTGTTGCTGCTGGCGCTGCTGCTCCATTTGCTGCCCTGATAGTTGTTGCTGCGGCTGCAGTGCGAGAGACGCCATGCGACTCTGCATTTCCCTAAGACTGTAATTTCCGAAGGGCGATACTACAGGAGCCGTTTCAGTGTTGGGCATTTCTACATGGAGCGTCCAATGGGCTTCTTTTTGTTGAACCTGTTCTCCCTGGTGATGCTTCTGCTGATGTCTAAGTAGTTCGACAGCTTGCAACAACTCACGACCTTGGCGAGATAAGGACTGCTGCTGCAGCTGCTGCATCATTTGTGGCTGCTGCGGTGGCTGCTGTTGCCGCTGCAGGTCTTCAGGCGATGGTGGCTTCAGGCTCTGCTCCGCTTTACGTACAGCAGCGGCAGCAGCAAGAGACGCGAACGAGTAGCAGTCGTCTCCTGTGGCAGTGCTGGCTGTGCTGCGAGACACTGCCTGGCCCCATGGATTGAGGTCCCTGTAGTAGCCGGGCGCTGCGGCTGTCGCTGCAGAGACTGCCGCTTCATCAGCACTACCTGCAGCTGGACGCTGCCACCCGTGTTGCAGGACTGCCTCGGCAAAAGCTTGCTGACTACCAGGAAGCCTCCGCTGTTGCTGCAGGAGCAGCCTCTGATGCACTAACTGCTGACGTGAGACCACTTCTTCAAGCTCAGCCGATTTCTGCTGTTGCAGCTGCTGCTGTGTAGCTTCCGGTGCACCAGATGATATCTGCATAATGCCAGGCGCCTCACTCCAGGAATCAGTAGATTGCAGCTGTTGCAATAGTTGGTCTTCACTCCGCTGCTGCTGATACTGGTGCTGTTGCTGCTTTGCTGCTAAGGCTCTGAGAGATAGTGCTGGCACCTTTGACGAGGGTAGGCGGAATTGAAGAGATCCTGGAGAACGAACAGCCTACAATGCAGAACCACACAGCAAAAGGGAGCATTCGTTGCCACAATGTGCAAGGGAGACCGCTGGCTTTATTATTGCACTTTCGTTAAGGAGACTGGGTGAATGAGAGGTGATGGACTCACCGCTACCACTTCTTGTTGTGGCAGTTGGTCCTTGTGCTCATTCTGCTGCTGTGGCAATCTCCCAGAGGTCAAACCTGTCTGGAACTGAGGCAAGCCGTCCTGTTGCTGCTGTGATTGTTGTTGAGAATGCAGGTCAGAGGCGAAACAGCGCTGTTGGAGATCCTGTATCTGGCGCTTCAGAGCTTGTTGCTGTTGTTGTTGTTGCTCCGGGTGTTGGAGCATCTGGGCTCTTTGGTCTTCTTGTGACGACACTGCAGCCTTTCCAGCAGCTTCTGCCTCTAACAGCATTAACAGCTGCTGGTGTTCCACCATGTGTTGCTGCTGTTGTTGCTGCTGTCGAGTAAGCTTGCCGTGTGCTTGTTGCATAGCCAGTTGCTGTAGTAATAACAGATCCTGGGGTAGACTACTATCGGGAACGAGAGATTGCAACTGTTGTTGCTGTGGCTGCTGCTGCTGCTCGCGGTGAGCCATCATGAAATGTTGTTGGTTTTGTGGCTGGTCGTGCGCTGGCTGAGCAAAGACGTACCCGACCTCAAGCTCCCCAAGGGCGTGTGCATACTTGCAACTGGAACCGTGTAGACATTTGCCTTGAACAGAAACAGTGCACAGACGAAAGCCAATGCATGAATCTTTGAATCTAAGGGGGAAGGCGGGGGGG